CGCTCAGAACGAGCACTTCTAGCCTCAAAACGCGCTAGGATCCGCACATGTGGAGGAAGTGCAGCGGGCGCTCTTCATTCTCAAGGGCCGATGACCAATAATGCTCGCAACCCTTCCACGCCCTTGCTGGCTTGGCAAGAGGCCGACAAAAGCGCAGCCACGTGACCTGGTAGAAGAAAAATGCTCACTGCGAGCGCTTCTAGCCTCAAAACGCGCTAGGATCTGCACATGTGGAGGAAGTGCAGCGGTCGCTCTTCATTCTCAAGGGCCGATGACCAGTGATGCTCGCAACCCTTCCACACCCTTGCTGGCTTGGCAAGAGGCCTAGACAAGTGCAGCCACGTGACCTGGTAGAAGAAAAACGCTCACTGCGAGCGCTACTAGCCTCAAAACGCGCTCGTATCCGCACATGTGGAGGAAGTGCGGCGGGCGCTCTTCATTCTCAAGGGCCGATGACCGATGATGCTCGCAACCCTTCCACGCCCTTGCTGGCTTGGCAAGAGGCCTAGACAAGCGTAGCCACGTGACTTGGTAGAAGAAAAACGCTCACTGTGAGCGCTTCTAGCCTCAAAACGCGCTAGGATCCGCACATGTGCAGGAAGTGCAGCGCGCGCTCTTCATTCTCAAGGGCCGATGACCAATGATGCTCGCAACCCTTCCATGCCCTTGCTGGCTTGGCAAGAGGCCTAGTCAAGCGCAGCCACATGACCTGGTAGAAGAAAAACGCTCAAAACGAGCGCTTCTAGCCTCAAAACGAGCTAGGATCCGCACATGTGGAGGAAGTGCAGCGGGCGCTCTTCATTCTCAAGGGCCAATGACCAATGATGCTTGCAACCCTTCCACGCCCTTGCTGGCTTGGAAAGAGGCCTAGACAAGCGCAGCCACGTGACCTGATAGAAGAAAAACGCTCACTGTGAGCGCTTCTAGCCTCAAAACGCGCTAGGATCTGCACATGTGGAGGAAGTGCAGCGGACGCTCTTCATTCTCAAGGGACGATGACCAATGATGCTCGCAACACTTCCACGCCCTTGCTAGCTTGGCAAGAGGCCTAGACAAGTGCAGCCACGTGACCTGGTAGAAGAAAAACGCTCACTGCGAGCGCTTCTAGCCTCAAAACGCGCTAGTATCCGCACATGTGGAGGAAGTGCAGCGGGCGCTCTTCATTCTCAAGGGCCGATGACCGATGATGCTCGCAACCCTTCCACGCCCTTGCTGGCTTGGCAAGAGGCCTAGACAAGCGCAGCCACGTGACTTGGTAGAAGAAAAACGCTCACTGTGAGCGCTTCTAGCCTAAAAACGCGCTAGGATCCGCACATGTGCAGGAAGTGCAGCTGGCGCTCTTCATTCTCAAGGGCCGATGACCAATGATGCTCGCAACCCTTCCACGCCCTTGCTGGCTTGGCAAGAGGCCTAGACAAGCGCAGCCACGTGACCTGGTAGAAGAAAAATGCCCAGAACGAGCGTTTCAAGCCTCAAAACGCGCTAGGATCCGCAGATGTGGAGGAAGTGCAGCGGGCGCTCTTCATTCTCAAGGGCCGATGACCAATGATGCTCGCAACCCTTCCACGCCCTTGCTGGCTTGGCAAGAGGCCTAGACAAGCACAGCCACGTGACCTAGTAGAAGAAAAACGCTCACTGCAAGCGCTTCTAGCCTCAAAACGCGCTAGGATCCGCACATGTGCAAGAAGTGCAGCGGGCGCACTTCATTATCAAGGGCCGATGACCAATGATGCTCGCAACCCTTCCACACCCTTGCTGGCTTGGCAAGAGGCCTAGACAAGCGCAGCCACCTGACCTGGTAGAAGAAAAACGCTCACTGCGAGCGCTTCTAGCCTCAAAACGCGCTAGGATCTGCACATGTGGAGGAAGTGCAGCGGGCGCTCTTCATTCTCAAGGGCCGACGACCAATGATGCTCGCAACCCTTCCACACCCTTGCTGGCTTGGCAAGGGGCCTAGACAAGCGCAGCCACGTGACCTGGTAGAAGAAAAACGCTCACTGCGAGCGCTTCTAGCCTCAAAACGCGCTAGGATCCGCACATGTGGAGGAAGTGCATCGGGCGCTCTTCATTCTCAAGGGCCGATGACCAATTTAGCAGATATAGACATTTCAGTCGTACATGGTACATGCACTACAGGCGCGCATACCGACCAAACTGACGAGCGCATTACTGACGGTTTTAGAGATGCTGCTAGTACCATATTCTTATCAGTCCACTAGATTAGGCCTTCTACTTCAATAACACTAGCTTATAACCTTTTTGATTCACATAATTTGGGAGATTTCAGAGTTCGAGCTCCGCCTTGTACCTACACACAAGTGTGCATTCTGACCGAACCGACCGACGCATTATTCTCTTTGTACAACTACAATGAATACCATATATTTTCCCATTTCCTTATACCATTCCTCACCCCTCGACCATGTTTTAACCTATCGGATCTATGTAATTTAGCAGATATAGACATTTCAGTCGTACATGGTACATGCACTACAGGCGCGCATACCGACCAAACTGACGAGCGCATTACTAATGTATTTAGAGATGCAGTTAGTACCATATTCTTACCAGTCCACTAGATTAGGCTTTTACTACAAAACAACACTAGCTTATAACCTTTCCGATCCACATAATTTGGGAGATTTCAGAGCTCGAACTCCGCCTTGTACCTACACACAAGTGTGCATTCTGACCGAACCGACCGACGCATTATTCTCTTTGTACAAATACAATGAATACCATATGTATTCCCATTTCTTTTAAATTATACCATTCCTCACTCCTCGACCATGTTTTAAAGTATCGGATCTATGTAATTTAGCAGATATAGACATTTCAGTCGTACATGGTACATGCACTACAGGCGTGCATACTGACCAAACTGACGAGCGCATTACTGATATTTTTAGAGATGCAGTTAGTACCATATTCTTATCAGTCCACTAGATTAAGTCTTCTACTTCAATAACACTAGCTTATAACCTTTCCGATCCACATAATTTGAGAGATTTAGGATGTCTAGCTCCGCCTTGTAGCTACACACATGTATGCATTCTGACTAAATCGACCGACACATTTTTCTCTTTGTTCAAATACAATGAATACCATATAGCGCAGCCACGTGACCCGGCGGAAGAAAAACGCTCGTAACGAGCCTCCCACCCCCAAAAAGAGGAAGGATCCACACATGTGCAGAAAAACATGTGTAGCATGAATTACAGTGTGCGTGGTCAGAATAATAGGGACGACGCGCGACGCGACGCGGTGATAAGGAACGTCCCTCGTTTTCTCGTTGAGCTGCAAATCTGCAGCCGCAAATACCTATGTATGGTTGGGGATGAGAGTGGGTGGTTGGGTGGTTGGTTGGGTGGTTGGTTGGGCTTGCTCTTGCCTGACCGTGGCTGGAACGAGCAGGCTCGGCGTGCAGCGTAACCACGAACTCCCTCCACCCGAGCCTGAAAGTGTGAGGCGCCCAAGGGACTTCCGGCTTACACATCCACCAATTGCAGAGCTGCTCACCGAACTTCCATCCTCTTTTATAACATCTTCACGAGAAACACATCGTCGCTCAAAAACATCGTCACGTCACCCCATCGTCACCCGAAAACATTGCTTGTGTATCCATCCATGCCACAAGGGGTTCCTTCCAGAGACCAGACCTCCCCCTTGCAGCCGAAGCGGGCTTAGGGCGCGTGTCCTTGAGGTTGAACTTTGGCCAAAAGTTGAACTTTTAGAAAGGTTGTACGCGGTAGGATACAGTTGAGAGACGTGTCGCCACGTTACAAAGCGGTACTAGGCTCGAACTTTGACAATCTACACCAAAAGACACGCGCCCTTATCTCGCGGTGAAAAGGCTGGAAATCGCATTCTTCGTCCCGACCGACGTGATAAGATTTGGATAAGGACGCGACGGCCGCGATCGCCTTAGAGTAGGGCGCCAAAGCGGATGAGTGAAGTCCGTGCATGTAACAGGTTACTGGGTAACAGTGATCACTGGGAGCAGGTTAGCGTCACACAGCGTCGGCGTGTATTGAACAAGCAAGCAAAGTAAGTAGCCTCGAGATTGCGCAGCGAAATAAGTTCAAATACAGTAAATCGGTACCCGTGTTGAACAAGGAAGCAAAGCTTAGATTTCCAACCAAATGGGACCAGCAACCACCATAAAACACAGCTTCATTCTTATTTCCACATGCATAATTATCATGCAACACATATGATAGAGGAATTTTGAGTAGCATTCCGGTCCCAGAAGCTAACCACATCCGCAATAGATCCATGGTGGCCCATCCAGGGTTTGTTCCAACACGAGCCGGTGGTAACGCTCGTATGTATGTATGATGCAGGAATATAAATTCCAAGTGACATTTTTTTCAGTACGATTAGATTCTTTACCTGAACGTAAAGAGTCCTCGCCCTCCAGAATAAAGATTCGCGCTCCTCCTTTGAACACAACGAGCCCCACCTCAATGCGCCCCAGGTTCCGGCTCTCACAATACTTGTGATATGTTTCCGGGCATGGAGTATTTCCTTCACGCAAGAATATGCGTGAGTCAAGTTGTCAGGCAAGAGGTTACCAATCATGGCAGCAGGGCAGTCAAAGAAGGCTTGGAAGAGGCAGATTGGGGTGGAGAAGTCGAGAAGGGTGTGCTGTAGGAAGAAGCACTTCCAATGCTCCGATCGCCTGACGGCTGGATTGAATGGGGTGGAGAATGGTGAAGAGGAGTTAATCATGGCAGCAGCGCAGTCACAGGGGGCTTGGAAGAGGAAGATTGGGGTGGAAATGTGGACAAGGGTGTGCTGCAGGAAGAAGCACTTCCATTGCTCCGATCGGATTGCCTGACGGCTGGATATGAGAGGGTCAAAGGCGATCAAAAGAGGAAACGGCGAAGGCGATATAAAGAGACAAAGGCGATAAAAACAGACAAAGGTGATAAAGGGTTAGAAAAGGTGACGGGATAATACATGCATAGAGTGGTGGATAGAGTGGTGGGTGGGGGTACCATAGGACCAGGTCGGGTTGACTGGACGATGCAGCGATGTCAACTTCTGCGCCAAAGCACGGAAGGTGCGCCTTGAAAAGCGATCCCTTGTGTCTGGAATTTACAATGTTAGGAAAAGAGAGACAGGGGATCATTCAAATCAAGGTTGGGAGACAAGTCACCCTTTAGTAGGCCAATACTAGGGGGGCTCTGAGATGAGTCGACTCAACACTTGCTTTGCCCAAACAAGGCATGGTAAGCAAGGGTGGGTCGAAATACTACTAGAACAGGGCGTACATACCCAGGAAGAAGCCAGCATCTACAAGGCACCGGGTGGATGCGGACGGAAACAAAGAGGCCAGCCAATCACAGAGGTTTGCCGCGGCCTGCCCGCCGGCCGAGCTGCCCGAAAGCAAAATTTGCGAGGCAGAGCCAAAGCTACGCTGTAGCTGGAGGTCTGATGAGGGGAATGGGGGAATTGGGGGCGAGTGGTGTGGGGGGTGAGGGAGAGGTGGATGGATAGGAAGGGGAAATAGGAAGAGAGTAGAGAAAAATGGCAGAGAAAAATAGCTGAGGAAAATAAAGAGAGGATGCGACAGGACCATCTTACAGAGGGAAAGGAGGTGGCGATAGTTCAGATGCATGTCTTGTGATGAGAGAAGGCAAATTTGGGAAAAGCATCTATCCTACGAGGTACAGGAGAGGGGGAGAAATGGCACGCACACCTTGCAGCACAGCCCGAATGATGTTCCACCCGTCCAGGTAGATGGCCGAATGATGATTCAGCAGCAAGTTTTGCCCCGTTGACCCCGTTGACCCGGTTGACCCCGTTGACCTCATTGACTCCGTTGACCCATCCGCCTCCAAGCTCACATTCGTTGCCGGGGCGACCCTCACTGATTGCGGCAAGGTGCCAGCGGCGCTCGGATGAGGGTAGCCCCTTGTGTCAGTAAGGTTGATCCACCCTCTTGTGCCGGCATAACCGCCCCCGTCACAGTAGATGAGTCGCACAAGGTTCCAGTTGTGGAAGAGGGGGTTCACTCGCTCGTTCGAGCTCAGTACACCGCCAAACGTTTTCTGTGCAATGCGATGCGATGCCATGGCGCAAGCAGAGAATGTGGGATTGGATTGAGTGTTCGTACGCCGGCATAGAATGTGGGATCGGATTGAGTGTTCGTACATGAGTCTCACGAGGTTCCAGTTGTGGAAGAGGGGATTCACTCGCTCGTTCGAGCTCAGCACACCGCCAAACGTTTTCTGTTCAAGGCAATGCCATGGTGCAAGAAAAGAATGTGGATTGGGTTGAACTATTCTTGAGGTGCGTGAAAAAGAGGGAATTCACTCTCTCGTAGGAGCTCAGTACACCGTCAAACATTTCCGGTGCAAGGCAGGGCATTGACATGGTGCAAGAAAAGGATGTGGATTGGGTTGAACTGTTCCTGAGGTGCGTAGAAAAGAGGGAGTTCACTTTTTCATTGGAGCTCAGAACACCGTCAAACGTTTTCTGTGCAGCACGGTGTCCCAGTTTTGTCCCAGTTGTGTCTCACTTGAAACTCTCAAAGGTAAACAACAGCCTTACAGAGTCGTTGAGTTGCTTGGGGTATCCTCTTGTCGTCCCAAGCAGTGTGCGCGCCCGCTGTGCGCATGCAGCGACAGTGACGCACCACCCGCCTGCAGGCAGGTATATGTGCCAGTTCTGGCGCCCTGAGCCAGTGCCGGGGCGGAAATAGTACCCTGGGGGGCTGGCGCAGGGGAGATGGCATGGGGGAGAACGGGGAAGAGGGTATGGGAAGATGGTAATGAACCATGTGCGCGCCCGTTCCGCGCATGCAGAGACAGTGAAACACCACCCCCCTGCAGGCAGGTATATGTGCCAGTTCTGACGCCCTGAACCGCTGCCGGGGCGGAAATAGTACCCTGGGGGGCTGGCGCAGGGGAGATGGTGTGGGGGGGGAACAGGGAAAAGGGTATGGGACAGACGGCAATGAAGCGTGTCTGTGTGCATGCAGCGACAGTGACGCACCACCACCCTGCAGGCAGGTATATGTGCCACTTCTGGCGCCCTGGTGCGGGCGCGGAAATAGTACCCTGGAGGGCTGGAGCAAGAAAGATGACATGGGGACGGGGTCGTGGGAAAAGTGGTAATGAATCGTGCGCCAGCCAGGGTACTGATGGGAAGGGAAGGCACGCAGGGAGACGGATTGACTTTAAGTCAACTCCGAAGTCACCTGGCTCACCTTCCGTCCAGGCACTTGGCACGAAGCGAATTATTGGATAGAAGAATAAGCGGAATAAGCGTGGAGTTACCACTACTGGTATTATTAGTCTTTTCAGGAGGCCGCTTTGAACAGAGAACTATCCCCACTGCTAACGCAATCAGCGCACAGACCCCTATGAGAGATATGATAAGGCACTTCCGGACAGGCATGGCTAAAGCGAGTAGGAGAAGGGGCTTGATGGTACTATGAACTTAGTCAATCCGTCGATGTGGTTAGTTGAATGCGCCCACTACAATTCGCTTTTGTCCCCATCAATTCGGACCGATGCATCGCAAAAAACGTCTCACGCCGACATGACACGGCAGTTTCAACCACTGTACCACTCGTGCTGGATACGCAGACAGAAGGGAAGAAAAGGGCGATTGAAGCCCAGCTGACCTGGCGCGAGCATGGCTTGAACTACAGTGTGCGTGGTCAGGAAAATAGGGACGACGCGCGACGCGACGCGGTGATAAGGAACGTCCCTCGTCGTCTCATTGAGCACTTGAGAAAATAGACTGCAAATCTGCAGCCGCAAATACCTATGTATGGGTCGGGAGGAGAGTGGGTGGTTGGGTGGTTGGTTGGGTGGTTGTTGGGCTTGCTCTTGCCTGACCGTGCCTGGCAAGAGCAGGCTCGGCGTGCAATCACAAAAACTCCCGCCACCCGAGCCTGAAAGTGTGAGGCGCCCAAGGGACTTCCGGACCACACATCCACCAATTACAGAGCTGATCACCGAACTTCCATCCTCATTTATAACATCTTCGCGAAAAATACATCATCGCTCAAAAACATCGTCACCCCATCGTCACCCGAAAACATAGTTTGTGACCCAAGGGCATCGAAACTCCGCTTGTGGAAGCATCCATTCACAGGGGCATGGTTCCAGGGACCAGACCAGTGTCACAAGGGACCAGCTTCACCAGACCGCGTTAGCAACCAAAGCGGGCTTATTTCGTGGTGTCAGGGCCGGAAATCGCATTCTTCATCCCGACCGACGTGATTAGATTTCGACAAGGACGCGACGGCCGCGATCGCCTTAGAGCAGGGCGCCAGTGCGGATGAGTGAAGTCCGTGCATGTAACCCGACCACTGGGAGCAGGTTACCGTCACACAGCGTCGCCGTGTGTTGAACCGCTTTAAGGTCGTGTCGCAGATAAGCGGATCGCGGAAGGGCAAATACGTCACGTCCATCATGACTGTTGCTAGTGAGGCGATTAGTGTCCAACAACGAAATCTCCTCCTGTCGGGTTACGTCGCATGATCGTCGCATGGCGTCGGGTGTAATCGCATCGTATCGTCGCACGGCGGCGTCGTGTATACTCGCGCTGCTTCTAACGAGCAGCTGCCACTATCGAGGCTCCGCAGGGTCCGCCGCAGTGGTAACCACTACTTCGCCAAAGGTTCCGCCGCCTCTCCCCGCGGGGCGCACCTCTGGCGGCGGAAACGGCGCGGCTGGGGGAACCGCCACGTGGCAGCAGCCCAGCGATTCGTGGCAGCCTGAGCTGACGCTCCTCGCGAACAATTCTTATGGCGCGCGTTGCCTGGACGGCAGGTGCGGCAGCCCAACGGTAACATAGTCATGGCATTAGCGTCACGATGGGGTTGCTTTTTTATAATTAAAATAATAATAAACCCGCTCCCCTCCCCTCCCTCCCCTTCCGTCCCCCACTTCCACCCTTCCCCCCACCTCCCCCTCTCTTCCCCCCCAAACCCACCCCTCCCCCTCCCACCCCTGACAGCCCCCCGGGGTACTACTTCCGCCCGGGTTCGGGGGAGGGCGCGGACGCGTGGCACGTGCACCTGCCCATGGGCGGGTGGTGCTTCAACCTCAGCAGCTGCGCGGACCGCGCTAAAACCTTCCTGGGTTCGTCCCGAGCAGATCTGCAAGAAGAGAACCCGTACCGCCATGTGAGCTTGGGGGGGGGGGGAGAGGAGGAGGGGAAGTGCGGTGGAGAGGAGGAGGGGAAGTGCGGTGGAGAGGAGAGGGGGGTTGAAGGTGTCTTGGGGTGGAAGCGCGTGCACCTGCCTGAGTGGTCACACTAAGACCTTCCTGGGTTCGTCCCGAGCTGATCTGCAAGACGAGAACCCGTACAGACATGTAAGCTTGGGAAAATGGGGAAAGGGGGTGCGAGGGGAGGGCCTTGGGGTGGAAGCGCGTGCACCTGCCCATGGGCGGGTGGTGCTTCAACCTCAGCAGCTGCGCGGACCGCGCTAAGACCTTCCTGGGTTCGTCACGGGCCGACCTGCAGGAAGAGAACCCATACCGCCATGTAAGCTTGGGAAAATGGGGAAAGGGGGTTGGGTTGGGGGGAAAAGGGGGTGCGAGGGGAGGGTCTTGGGGTGGAAGCGCGTGCAACTGCCCATGGGCGGATGGTGCTTCAACCTCAGCAGCTGCGCGGACCGCACTAAGACCTTCCTGGGTTCGTCCCGAGCCGACTTGCAAGAAGAGAACCCCTACCGCCATGTGAGCTAGAGGGAGAGGGGGGGGGGGGGGGGGAGAAGGGGAGGGGAAGAGCTTTTAGACGTCTCCTTAAGCGAGCCAACTTGCAAGAAGAGAAGCCGTACCGCCAGGTACGGTGGGAGGGAAGGAGGGAGTGAGGAGTGGAGATGTTATCTAGACATCTCCATAGTTGAGCCAATCTGGATGAAGAGAACCTGTCCTGCCATGTGAGGTTGGAAGGGGGGAAAGGGGGACGGGGGGGAGATGGGGGGTGGGTGGGAGAGGGATGGGAGGGAGAGCGGGGAGCGGGAGTAAGCGGGGGGGAGCGGGAGTAAGCGGGGGGAAGCGGGAGTAAGCGGGAGGAAAGGAGAGGATCAGGGCATATTGAGCAGCAGGAAAGGCTCCAAACCTTACCTGATCCTCTCCTTTCATCCCTCTGTGCACCCTCTCTCCTTGCACGCTGCTGCCTCCCTCATTCCTCCTCACTGCAAGCGCAGTGGGGCTATCAGGGAATCCTGAGCAGCAGGAAGAGCGTCAACCCGCGCTTCTACAACTGGAACGTTGTCGTGCTCACCTGCTGCTCTCTCTATCCCATGTCCTTCCATCTCTCACTGTCCCACGCCGCTCCCTCTTGTGCCCTCCTTGCTCTGTGCCGCGTTGATCCCTCCGCCCCCCACTGCAGGCGCGGTGGGGCTATCAGGGAATCCTGAGCAGCAGGAAGAGCGTGATCCCGCGCTTCTACAACTGGAACGTGCTCGTCCCCACCTTCTGCTCTCTCTGTCTCATGCCGCTCTTGTTAGAATCTATCTTCTCTTGTAACCTGCATAGATGTTATAGGATAGGCTAGAGATAAGCACCCAAACTTAGTTTGGGTGTACAAGCAGGGGTTACCCAATTTGTAGGTTGGAAACCCAACCTTGGTCCAATTATTGGACCCCAAAGGTTGGGTTGGGTAGAATTATTGGTTCACACCAATAATGTTGGCCCAACCCCAACTTGGCCAACATTATTGGACCCCACCAATAATCCCCCAACCCAACTTCATGGGTGGGGTCCAATAATGGTCACCTAGGCTAGGATCCAACCCATTCCCTATGTAAACCCCCATTCTCCTCAATCCAACATCAACTTCTCTTCTAACTTTTCTTCTCACATGGTATAGAGCTCTTAAAAATCCTAGGCCTACGCTCCTAGTTTTTTTTTTTTTTTTCAAAGGCCGCCGCAACCCCCGGCCTCCTTTCTCATTTTTCCGCGGCTATCTCGCCACCCTCCCCCTCTCCTCAAGCACTCCCTTCCTCGCAGCCCCGCGGCCTCCCACGCCATCACGGCCCGCGCCGCTCCCTTCCCCGGCCCCACCGCCGCTTCCGCGCTCGCCTTGTCGCGGTCCCGCCGACCGCCACCGCCCGCCCCATTCCGCGGCCTCGACGCCGCCTCCGCGCCAACGCCACTGCGGCTCCACCAGCCGCCGTCGCCGCCGCCGCTCCCTTCCGCGGCCTCGTCGCCGCCTCCGCGCCTGCACTGCCGCGGCTTCGCCAGCCGCCGCCGCTCGCGCCGCTCCCTCCCGCGACCCCGTCGCCGCTTCCGCGCCTGCACTGCCGCGGCCTCGCCAGCCGCCGCCGTCCGCGCCGCTCCCTCCCGCGGCCTCGTTGCTGCCCCCGCGCCTACGCTGCCGCGGCCTCGCCAGCGCCGCAGTTCGCGCCGCTCCCTCTCGCGGCCTCGTCGCCGCCTCCGCGCCTGCACTGCCGCGGCTTCGCCAGCCGCCGCCGCTCGCGCCGCTCCCTCCCGCGGCCTTGTTGCCGCCTCCGCGCTTGTACCGCCGCGGCTGAGCCAGCTGCCGCCGCCGCCTGCGCCTCTCCGCGGCCCCATCGCCGCCTCCACGCTAGCGCCGCCGCGGCCTCGTCAGCCGCCGCCGCCAGCACCGCTCCCCTCACGGCCTCATCGCCGCCTCCGCGCCAACGCCACCGCGGCCCCACTAGCCGCCGCCGTCCGCGCCGCTCCCCTCTGCGGCCTCGTCGCCGCCTCACCTCCCTCTCCTCCGTGACCACTGCGGGTCCCCCCGCGGCCGTCCTTCATGGCTACCGCCGCACCTTCCCCCGCCCCCCTCCCTCCTCCTATTGATACGTCCTCCGTCGATAAGCTGCAGCTTGCCGCAGACAAATCCACCGTCAATTGGCACTCCTTCGTCGGCAGCATCCGACGAGTTCTCTCCGACGCATGGGTTCCCCCCTACCGTGTCCTTGATGTCCTCCTCCGCCGTCCCCAGGCACTCCCCCCCACCGAACCTGAACACCCAGGCGAGACTCCTCCTCTCCCTCCCTCTTCCGGCGATCCTCCTCTTGAACCCGACCTCCAACGCACAGGCGACCAAGCCACCGCTGATGCAGACTTCATCTTACGCCGCCGTGCGTACCTTATCAAGAAAGCAGAGTACGATGCAGCAGTCGAAGCCTATGACCAGGCGGTTGCTGGCCGCAACGCTCACCTCGCCGTCGTCGCCAAATACAAAGACGACATGGCCACCCACATCCCGAAACTTATCGCCTGGACAACTGCTGACACTCGTGCCTGCACCGTTCTCCTTGGGGCTCTCCCTGACTCCCTCATGCGCCGCTTCCAGGCTCGAGAGCTTCGGGCCTCGGTCATCTGGGCAGAACTCCATGCGATGTTCGAACGCCGCGACATCAGCTCGGTCGGTATCCTGTTCCAAGAATACTTCTCAATCACCCTTGCTACCTGTGACGGAGCGGTCGACTACATCGGACGCATGCGGGAGGTAGCTGATCGTCTCGAAGCCCGCCAAGCCGGCCTCTCCGAACCTCTCCAAATCCATCGCCTCCTGTTTAACCTCACTCCCGACTATGAATCCCGCCTTCACGCCTTTACCGAGGCCAATCCCCTAGCCGATCTCGCCTCCGTTGAACAGTAAATCATAGACACCGAAGTCAAACTTCACACCCCCATCGTCAACCTCGCCTCCTCCCCACCCTCCTCCTCCTCCCTCAACGCTACTCAGCCCCGCAAGCAGGGCAAGAACAACGGCAAGGGGGGTGGTGGAGGCAAGGGAGGTAGCGGCCAAGGCAGCAGCAATGCGAACAGACGCAGCGGCACCACTGGAGACGAGCATGGCACCCCCAATACAGGCGGAGCCCCTGCAATCAGTGGGACTTGCCCTGGTACTCTTCCGCCCTGCACCTATGTCCGCCACTATGGTCCCCGGGCTGGCACCCCCTGCGGACAGACCAACCACCCTCCTGCCACCTGCTTCAAGGCCCTCGATGATGCATGGTACGCACGAGGCAACGTTGGCAATCCCAAGGTGGAAAATTACGCTAAGCAAAATTTTCGAGCCGAAAGTTTCGATCGAAAATTTCGGCCGTTTTTTGAATATTTCGGCGAAATTTTAATATACCAAAAAAAAAGAAAAGAATTTTTCTAAATTTACCTGGAGGCGAAATGCCATATCTGCCCTTAATTTTATGGCGAAATGCTAGACCCGCCCTATAGTGGATGGCAAAATGCCGGATCCGCCCTAAATCTGATGGCGAAATGCCAGATCTGCCGTAGATCTTACGGCGAAATGCCTGATCTGCCTAGATCTAGCAGCGAAATGCCATTAAAATATCCACCCATAGAATATTATAAATTTACACACGTTTTTCTAAAAAAATTCCTGAAAAATTCGGGCGAAATTTTCCACCAATTTGTTTTTGGAAAGGGGGACCGAAATTATCGGAAGATACGTTCGAAAATTTCGATAGCGAAATTTCGCCCAAAAAATGAAAATTTCGGCGAAATTTTGCACCCTGGGCAATCCTCCTAAGTGGGCAACAATCTCCCCACGTCCCTCCCCCACTGACATCCAAACCAACCCCGCTTACCTCCCCGCCACCTCCGCCTCCTTGCTCCCCCCGCGCCCTTCCTCAACCTCCAGCAGCAGCACCTCCAGCAGCAGCAGCAGCAGCAGCAGCAGCAGCAGCAGCAGCAGCAGCAGCAGCAGCAGCAGCAGCAGCAGCAGCAGCAGCAGCAGCAGCAGCAGCAGCAGCAGCAGCAGCAGCAGCAGCAGCAGCAGCAGCAGCAGCAGCAGCAGCAGCAGCAGCAGCAGCAGCAGCAGCAGCAGCAGCAGCAGCAGCAGCAGCAGCAGCAGCAGCAGCAGCAGCAGCAGCAGCAGCAGCAGCAGCAGCAGCAGCAGCAGCAGCAGCAGCAGCAGCAGCAGCAGCAGCAGCAGCAGCAGCAGCAGCAGCAGCAGCAGCAGCAGCAGCAGCAGCAGCAGCAGCAGCAGCAGCAGCAGCAGCAGCAGCAGCAGCAGCAGCAGCAGCAGCAGCAGCAGCAGCAGCAGCAGCAGCAGCAGCAGCAGCAGCAGCAGCAGCAGCAGCAGCAGCAGCAGCAGCAGCAGCAGCAGCAGCAGCAGCAGCAGCAGCAGCAGCAGCAGCAGCAGCAGCAGCAGCAGCAGCAGCAGCAGCAGCAGCAGCAGCAGCAGCAGCAGCAGCAGCAGCAGCAGCAGCAGCAGCAGCAGCAGCAGCAGCAGCAGCAGCAGCAGCAGCAGCAGCAGCAGCAGCAGCAGCAGCAGCAGCAGCAGCAGCAGCAGCAGCAGCAGCAGCAGCAGCAGCAGCAGCAGCAGCAGCAGCAGCAGCAGCAGCAGCAGCAGCAGCAGCAGCAGCAGCAGCAGCAGCAGCAGCAGCAGCAGCAGCAGCAGCAGCAGCAGCAGCAGCAGCAGCAGCAGCAGCAGCAGCAGCAGCAGCAGCAGCAGCAGCAGCAGCAGCAGCAGCAGCAGCAGCAGCAGCAGCAGCAGCAGCAGCAGCAGCAGCAGCAGCAGCAGCAGCAGCAGCAGCAGCAGCAGCAGCAGCAGCAGCAGCAGCAGCAGCAGCAGCAGCAGCAGCAGCAGCAGCAGCAGCAGCAGCAGCAGCAGCAGCAGCAGCAGCAGCAGCAGCAGCAGCAGCAGCAGCAGCAGCAGCAGCAGCAGCAGCAGCAGCAGCAGCAGCAGCAGCAGCAGCAGCAGCAGCAGCAGCAGCAGCAGCAGCAGCAGCAGCAGCAGCAGCAGCAGCAGCAGCAGCAGCAGCAGCAGCAGCAGCAGCAGCAGCAGCAGCAGCAGCAGCAGCAGCAGCAGCAGCAGCAGCAGCAGCAGCAGCAGCAGCAGCAGCAGCAGCAGCAGCAGCAGCAGCAGCAGCAGCAGCAGCAGCAGCAGCAGCAGCAGCAGCAGCAGCAGCAGCAGCAGCAGCAGCAGCAGCAGCAGCAGCAGCAGCAGCAGCAGCAGCAGCAGCAGCAGCAGCAGCAGCAGCAGCAGCAGCAGCAGCAGCAGCAGCAGCAGCAGCAGCAGCAGCAGCAGCAGCAGCAGCAGCAGCAGCAGCAGCAGCAGCAGCAGCAGCAGCAGCAGCAGCAGCAGCAGCAGCAGCAGCAGCAGCAGCAGCAGCAGCAGCAGCAGCAGCAGCAGCAGCAGCAGCAGCAGCAGCAGCAGCAGCAGCAGCAGCAGCAGCAGCAGCAGCAGCAGCAGCAGCAGCAGCAGCAGCAGCAGCAGCAGCAGCAGCAGCAGCAGCAGCAGCAGCAGCAGCAGCAGCAGCAGCAGCAGCAGCAGCAGCAGCAGCAGCAGCAGCAGCAGCAGCAGCAGCAGCAGCAGCAGCAGCAGCAGCAGCAGCAGCAGCAGCAGCAGCAGCAGCAGCAGCAGCAGCAGCAGCAGCAGCAGCAGCAGCAGCAGCAGCAGCAGCAGCAGCAGCAGCAGCAGCAGCAGCAGCAGCAGCAGCAGCAGCAGCAGCAGCAGCAGCAGCAGCAGCAGCACAGCAGCAGCAGCAGCAGCAGCAGCAGCAGCAGCAGCAGCAGCAGCAGCAGCAGCAGCAGCAGCAGCAGCAGCCGCCGCAGCAGCAGCCGCAGCAGCAGTTACAGCAGCTGTTTTACCCACAGCCGCAGCAGCAGCACCCATGGGGATCAGGGCCCCAGCCCCAGTGGGGACCCAGCCCTCCTCCCTGGCAGCAGCAGCAGCTAAACTTTGGCACAGCAGCCATGGCCGCCCAGGCCTCCCCGGCTCCCTTTTGGGGTGCTCCACCCCCCCCCAGTGGCACTGCCACCCCTCTCACTCAGGAAAGCTTTCTTGGCAACATTTCTGTCTCACCCTCTCTTCCTTCCATGTACCCATCCAACATTAATGAAACCACTTTCCAGTACTCCGTGTCTTCCTCCTCCTCGCCCACTCTGGACTTTGTCCTAGACAGTGGGGCCACTGAAACTGCTCTCAAAGATGCTGGTACACTCACACCCCTCTCCCCTCCCACTCACGTTCACGGCGCTGACAGCAGCTTCACCATCCCATGCACACACCTCTCCACTCTCCCCTGCTCACTCTTCCCCTCTGGTAAGGTAACTGGTCTCCACATCCCCACTCTCCGAAACAACCTCCTCTCCCACCGTGAAATCCAAGGTGCAGGTATCACTGCGGTCTATCCTGGTAATGCCACCTACTGTGACCTTTACCACACTGCCTCCGGCCGCTTCCTCCTCCGCATACCCCTCTGCCCCCGCACTCGCCTCTACACTCTCCGCACTCCGTGGCCATCCTCCTGTCATGTCACCACTCGTGCGGGTACCTCCTCTAGCCCTCCCCATCTCCCTCCCTCCCCTCCCACTCCACCATCCCCCCACTCCTTCATCCCGCCCTCACTCGTTCCAGCCCCCTCCACCTCCGACCATCTCTCCCACCCCGCTGTTCTCCTACATCACCGACTCGGTCATCCCAATTTCGCCGCTCTCCGCACTGCCGTCACCTCACGACTCCTTCACAGACTCCCTCCCACCCTTCCTCCCCTTCCCTCCTCCTCGGCCCCCCCATGCCCCTCCTGCATCCACGGCAAACTCAAACAATCCCCTCATCACAGCCACCCCTCCTTTGCTCCTGCACCCATTGACCTTGTCCATATGGACCTCTGGGGGCCCTCTCCCACCCGCTCACGCCAAGGCCATCGCTACATGCTGGTTCTTGTTGACGATCATAGCCGCTACTCCACCGTTTTCCTCCTCCACACAAAAGATCAGGCGCCGACCATGATCATTCACTGGGCAGAACAATGCCGCACCCACTTCAAACGTCCCATCGGCCGCCTCCACTCTGATGGGGGAGGCGAATTCCTCAATCGCACTCTCTCTCACTACTGCACCACTCATGGCATCCAACAGACCCACACTCTTCCCCACTCCCCACAGCAGAACGGCATCGCAGAAAGCCGCATCCGCGAAATTACCAAGATCGCCCGCTGTCTCCTCGCTCACGCCTCCACACCCCCTTCTCTCTGGGGCTATGCCCTCCTTCATGCTTCCCTCCTCCTCAACCTTCACTCCCATCCTCAACACACTGCCACTACCCCCACGGAGCTCTGGTCAGGGTCCAAACCTGACGCTGCTGGACTCCGTGTCTGGGGTTGCAAGGCATATGTGCTCATCCCTCCATCTGAACGGACCCACGGCAAGCTCGCTCCTCGTGCCCTCGAGTGTGTCTACATTGGCCACAACCGCGACTCGCCTGGTTACCTTTTCCTCCACCCTCCCTCTGGTCGCCTCATCCGCAGCATCGACGTTGTGTTCGATGACCCCATACTACTCCTCTCCACCACCAGACCCCCTCCCTCCTCCTACACGTCCTCTCGCTTGGACCGACACTGTCCTCCCTCCCCTCCTCCCTCCAGCACCTCTTCTCCCACCCCTCCCCACCCGGCTTCCGCCACCTTCATCTGCCGATATCTACGATCCCACTGCTCCAACATCCCCTGCACACTCCGCAGCTCCCCCTCCCTCCTCTCCTTCCCACTTTCCTTCTCATCCATCCCAGCAGCAGCAGCAGCAGCCGCAGGGGCAGCAGCAGCAGCAGCAGCAGCAGGGGCAGCAGCAGCAGCAGCAGCAGCAGCAGCAGCAGCAGCAGCAGCAGGGGCAGCAGCAGCAGCCGCAACAGCAGCAGCAGCAGCAGCAGCCACAGGGGCAGCAGCAGCGGGGGCAGCAGCAGCAGCCGCAGCAGCAGCAGCAGCCGCAGGGGCAGCAGCAGCAGCAGCAGCCGCAGGGGCAGCAGCAGCGGCAGCAGCAACAGCAGCAGCAGCAGCAGCCGCAGGGGCAGCAGCAGCAGCCACAGCAGCAGCAGCAGCAACAGCCGCAGGGGCAGCAGCACCAGGAGGGGCAGCAGCCGCAGCAGCAGCAGGGGTTCCAGCAGCACCAGCAGCAACAGCGGCGGAGGGCAACTGCCCGCTCCTCACCTTTCCTCCTCCCTCGCATGCACACCCGCTCTCTTGATCCCATCCTTGGCACTCCGCCACCTTCCTCCCTCAGCCAGCTCGAGGACTCCCATGAGGAGTTCGCCATGGTCCAGCGCCACACTCCCTCTCTCTCCACCCTCTACCCTGACCTCTTCGGCGCTCTACTCCTTAGCGCGATCTCCGCTCCCACCATCTTCGTCCCCACCACCTTCCAGGAGGCTATCACCTGCCCTGACGCTGACAAGTGGATAGCCGCTATCTTCCTGGAATGTGAGGCGTTCATCCGCAACGACTCCTTTATCGACGTTCCCCTTCCCCCTGACGCCAACCTTGTCGAGGGCAAGTGGATCTTTCGAGTCAAACAGCTGCCGGGAGAGGAACCAGTCTACAAAGCCCGCTATGTTGCTAAGGGGTTCACCCAGACCTGGGCTGAGGACTACTGGTTCACATTTGCCCCCACCCTCAGGCAAGCCACCCTACGCACCCTTATGGATATCGGTGCGCGGGACGACATGGAGATTGACTCCATGGACGTCTCTAACGTTTTCCTGCAAGGTGAACTGCACGAACGCATCTTTCTCCGCCGACCTCCCGGGTTCCATGCTACGTTCCCCGACAACACCGTCTGGCAGCTGAAGCGACCGGTCTACGGCCTGAAGCAGGCACCACGAGAATGGCATGCGAAGCTGTCTGCTACTCTCCAGTCCCTTGGCTTCTCCCCCTCCCACTCCGACGCCAGCCTCTTCATCCGCTCTTCCCCCAGTCGCTTCTTCATCTCGGTCTACGTCGATGACATGATCCTGCTCGCTGACACCAGGACTGACATGGATCAAGTGAAACGGTCTCTTCAGGAACGTCTCAAGTGCAAGGACCTTGGTCCGCTGCAGAACTACCTCGGCATGGCTATCACTCGTGATCGATCCGCCCGCACCATCACCCTCTCCCAGTCCCACTACATCGGCCAGGTCCTGGAGAAGTTTGAGATGGCGCAGGCCAAACCAGTCTCCACCCCCCTCCCCTTCGGTCACCAACTTGCGCCACCCACCTCCCCCTCCACCTCCTCCCGGCCCTACGCCGAGCTTGTTGGGTCGCTGATGTACGCGATGATGTGCACTCGTCCCGACCTCGCCTACCCTGTCAGCGTCCTTGCTCGATTCGTCGGCCCCGGCCGCCACACTGAGGAACACTGGACTGCCGCCAAGCGAGTCCTCCGCTATCTTCGTGGCACCAGGGACCACGCTCTCACACTGGGTGGATCTTCCCCCCCCCTTCTCTCTGGCTTCAGCGACTCCTCCTGGGCAGACTGCCAGCCAGACCGCCGCTCCTCCCAAGGCTATGGCTTCACCCTCGGCAGCGGCCTCATCAGCTGGCGCTCTACTCGCTCCTCCGCCATCGCCCTCTCCTCCTGTGAAGCTGAGCTCTATGCTGGCACCATGGCCGCGCAAGAGTCCCGCTGGCTCTGCTTCCTCCTAGCTGAGCTTGGTGTTCCCCAGCGCTGCCCCACCCTCTGGTGTGACAATGCCAGCACCATCCATCTCACCCAAGACCCCGTTTTTCACGGTCGCTCCAAGCACATTGAGCTCCGCTATTTCTTCATCCGTGAACTCGTCCAACAGAATCTCATCGCCGTTCGCAAGATCGCCGCTGAAGCCAACCTGGCAGATATCTTCACCAAAGCACTTCTTCGCCCTGCGCACTCTGCTCTTCTCCGCCTCATCGGCCTTGCTCCCCCGGGCGCGCCTTGATTCAGGGGTTGCTTCACTCAAGCCTTTCCACATCTCTGCAGGTTAAGGGGTTGTGTTAGAATCTATCTTCTCTTGTAACCTGCATAGATGTTATAGGATAGGCTAGAGATAAGCACCCAAACTTAGTTTGGGTGTACAAGCAGGGGTTACCCAATTTGTAGGTTGGAAACCCAACCTTGGTCCAATTATTGGACCCCAAAGGTTGGGTTGGGTAGAATTATTGGTTCACACCAATAATGTTGGCCCAACCCCAACTTGGCCAACATTATTGGACCCCACCAATAATCCCCCAACCCAACTTCATGGGTGGGGTCCAATAATGGTCACCTAGGCTAGGATCCAACCCATTCCCTATGTAAACCCCCATTCTCCTCAATCCAACATCAACTTCTCTTCTAACTTTTCTTCTCACAGCTCTCTCTCACCCTCCACTCCAGGCGCGGTGGGGTTATCAGGGAATCCTGAGCAGCAGGAAGAGCGTCAACCCGCGCTTCTACAACTGGAACGTGGTCGTGCCCACCTACTGTGACGGAGGGGGGTTCTCGGGCAGGCGAGGGCCTGTGAGGGTGCATGGTCGCAACGTTACCCTTTACTTGGAGGGATGGAAGATCATGAAAGCCGTGCTAACAGGTGGGTGGGCGGGTGAATGAATGGGTGGGTGCGGGGGCAGGCGAGGGCCTGTGACCATGAGGGTGAATGGCCGCAACGTTACCCTTAACCTGGAGGGGTGGAAGATCATGAAAGCCGTGCTGAATGGTGGGTGGGTGTGTGGGCCGGTAGGCAGTGATAGTTGTGCCCTGGAAGCTTTCTCACACTCTGCCCAACCCCCCCATCCCCCGCACATTCCCTCTGCAACCAGTCTCTCCGCTCATACTCTTACCTCTCCCTGTGTGTGATCCCCTCTCTCCCTAACCCTCCTTGCCTCACTGTTTCCATCTCTCCTCCTCCCTCCCTCTATGCCCGCCCGCCCATCAGACCTCCTCACCAACCGGGGCCTGCATTCAGCCACCTCGCTGCTGCTCTCAGGGGCATCAGCGGGCGGGCAAGCTGTCGTGACATTCTGTGGCCTCCTTGCTAACTCTGTCGCCCACTCCTCTGCCCTTCACTGCTGCTCCCTGCCCTCACTCCTCCCTTGCTGCCCACCAGACCTCCTCACCAACCGGGGCCTCCAGTCAGCCACCTCGCTGCTGCTCTCTGGGGCATCAGCGGGCGGGCAAGCAGTCGTCACATTCTGTGGCCTCCTTGCTAACTCTGTCGCCCACCCCTCTGCTGTCAAATGCCTGCTGGACTCTGCATTCTTCACGGGTGAGTGTTGACTGGCGTTGACTGGCGTTGACTGGCGTTGACTCTGCCCATTTCCCTCTGCCGTCAAGTGCCTGCTGGACGCTGCCTTCGTTCTGGTGGATGCGTTGACTGCCCTAATCTCTTCTTGTGAAGCCAACACTGTCTCATCTTCCAGACTGTCATCGCTAGTTTAACTGATGGTTTCCCATCCCTTTGACCTTCCCCTTCCCCTTCCCCTGTCCCCATTCCCCATTCCCCATTCCCCATTCCCCATTCCCCATTCCCCATTCCCCACTCCATCCCGTTGGTCCCCTGTTCAATTCATCAGACTCACCGGATCGGAACGGCTACCCCTGTTTTCAGCACATGGTGAAAGACATGGCAGAGATTCACGACTATTAGTGCACTCCCCTCGTTACCCTCTTCCCCCGTTTCCCTCTCCCCGCGTTTTCCGTTCCTCCCCCTTGTTCCCCCTTTCACCAGACTCACCGGATCGCAACGGCTACCCCTATTTCCAGCACACGGTGAAGGGCATGGCTGAACTTCATGAGTCCGTGGGCAACCCCAAATGCGCAAAGGGTAATTTACCCTAGGCATGCAAGAAGCAAGCTTTCCTTCACGAGCACACTCTATCTACCTTAGAAGATTGCTTCTGTGCATTGTTCAAGAACAAATAGGTTCTTAGAGGTTGCCATGTCATCAGATGACGTGTCACCACATGACTTGTCCCTTCTCCAGCTCACCTCATTGCCCCGCTTTTCCCCCTGACCCTCCCCCTTCTCACAGCGCAACCCCCTGCCATGCACTGGCGCTGCTTCTTCCCCCAGTACGCACTCGCCTTCGAGGCTCAAGGCTCCGTTTTCCCCTCACTAACTCACCCCGTAAACCTGAATTCCCAACTCCCAACCCCAACCCCATCCCCCTTCCCCCAGCGCAACCCCCTGCCAAGAAGTGGCGCTGCTTCTTCCCACAGTACGCACTCGCCTTTGTGACTCGCCGCCCCGTCTTCATCGTGCAACCGCTCTTTGACTTCCGTGCCCTCGTGCGCGGTAACCAGCTGCCCGAGGACTATGGTTACGTCCTGAATTGCCTGCGCTCGCTCCTCTCCCTGCCCGTCCTGCCCGAGAAAAAGAAGAGTCCGGGGATGTCTCGCCAAGCGTTTGATGTAGCGGCAGCAGCTGTGGGGGGAAATGAGGAGTGGTTGTTGCAGGGGTGGAAGCAGATTGAGGACGATGGATACACTACGTACTCCTTATGGGCGAAAGCGAACGCGCGAGAAGCACCTGTAGCGGCAGCAAGTGAGGCAGCATCAGACAAAGCGCTGATGACAAGAGGGGCAGGTGCAGGAAGCGAGGCTGCTGCTGTCATATTGCAAGCTGGGGTGAATGCAACGGAAGGGCCAACATCATTCTGCAAGCCGGATGAGTTAGTGGCGATATTGACGGTGGCGAATAATGTTGCAAGGTTCACAAAAATGCTTAGACGGAAGGGGTTCGACACATTCTTGCCCGTGGAGTATGAGCATGCGGTAATTACATCTGAACTTTGGACAAATAGTGTTGTTAATGGGGTCACGATGAGGGATGCTGTTGCCAATTGGTACTTCTCATAATATAATTGATTTTATTGTTCTTCTCATCGTTGTAATCCTTGCCCTTCTCCGTGAATCATACAAGAACCATCACAAACTAGTGCTGGGGAGGTAAAGCAATCGCTCATAGTTGCAATCACTGATGAAGCTGTATATTTGCATACTCATGCGAAACAAACGCTGTCGGTCTGTTGCGTTACAGCACACCAGCTCCTCCCCCTCGCTACAGCTTCATGATGCGCGCTTCGGATTCTGGCGGCGGTAAGTTTGACCTAACGAGTGACCACCAACTCTTGCAACGATGCCGAGCCGCGACCAGCTGTGATTGGTCCAGAATCATCTCCAGCGCCTTCCCCCATCTCCCCATGTCCGTCGCACAATGTCCGCTGCATCTGTTTTTCCCCCTTCCAAACCGCCCCCCACAACTGTGTTCAAATGAGCACCGTTTTTCTCCTGCTGCCTCTGCGCCTTTTTGTTCCCCCCACCCCCGCGCTGTCCCCTCTCTCTTCCCCTCCGTTCATTTCCCCCAGCCAGAGCATCCCTTCACTTCCCCAATTCACCCTGAAGGGATGCTCACACCATTTTCCTCACTGCCCCAACCGCCCACCCACCCTTCCCCATTTTCTGCACAAATTCGTGCATCCGCATCTGTTCGAAAATTGGCCCCTTGCACTGCAAACATTGACAGCTGTTACCGTTCATCATCGTTTTAAATCCCTCGGAAACGTCATCAACATCATGGCTTCTGCCCTTTTCTTTCCAGTCATCCCTTTTCTTTCTTCCAACGAAAGTCGGTGCACTGGCGTACGCACATCAGCAATGCGACTGTGTGACACCCAACAACCATGCCCGGGTGGCGAATGATGGAGGCGGAATGCAGATGAAGCATTCATGCAATGTATGTGCTTGTCACCTCTCTCAACCCCTCGGACTGCTCCGTGCGTTCGGCCTCTACAGTCTCGTCCAACAGTCTATGTCATCGATAGTTTTGTCCGCCTTTCACCTCGTTCCGCCCTATCATTCCGCACAGTGCTCTGGTCTGATTAATTGCTCTGGTTAAACAGTTCAGTACCGTATCGTACCCTGCCGACTGACTGCTGCAGCGGACGAGCCTTGCTCTCGCTGCGTAGCGCGTGTCGCGGGTGCATCGTTCGTTCTCCTAGTTTGTCAATGGAACCATCGTAACGACTGCTAATTATTTTAAATCTCGGGCTTTAGAATAGTTATTGTTCATGGACGACGGTTCCTATCGATTCGAATTGAAAAATAGATGGATTACTTCTTCTAATGCTGAAATAGAATCAGCATGACTACTTCCGTGTGGTTACCGCTAGTAGGAACGAAAATGGCGAAGCGCTAGACGATGGAAGTGTAGTCCCTAACCAGGTCGCAATTGCAGCATCTGTGGCATATGTAATAGTATGCGACATCGCCTGGCGTGTTTAGAGACGCCTTTAATAGCCGGGAGGTCGTCTCTGCGCGATCGCATGTGCCATAGCGCCACCGCGGAACGAATAGCGGGTAACGCGCGCCTACATCGCCACTGCCGTTCGCAGCCCGTCGTAATGCCACGATCGTCAAGATCGTCGCGAGTGTCGCGAGGGCCGTCGTTAGTAACCCTCGCGGTGGCGCTGGTGATATTAGCGGGGGGCGCGATTCGCGGCGGCGAGTGCATGTTGCGAACCATGCGGCTCGTCACTCTGCCGAATAACGCGCTGGGCGCCAGATGTCTTGACGGCAGGTACCACGTGGCACGCCCTGATAGGTCGATATTCTTGCTGACATTTGGTATCGAATAAGTAGTCTTGATGAATCGCATACCTCCTCGCGTCTTCCTTACTGCCCGACTATCGTTACTTGGCGACTCGCATACCTTCTCAACGCCTCTCTCTTCACCATTCCTCCCCCTCCATACCCTTAACCCCAGCTGCCCACTCCCCGCTCCCCCTTTGCCCTTCCTCCGTCCCCCTTTCCCTTCCCCCTTCCCCAGTGACCCCTCGTATTACTTCCGCCCAGGCGCCTCCTCCACTCCGCCCGTCAAACGAACCTCCCCGCGCGCGGCCGCTTCTCCAGTAGCAGGCGGCCACGTGGCAGGCAGCGGCCAGTCCGCCAATCAGCGGTGGTTCTCCAGCAGAAGCAGCGGAATCGTCGCGGAAAAGCCGAACCAATGGGACTCGTCGCCGCCGGCGGCCGGCACGGCGAGTCGCGACACGTGGCAGCCAGCGCAAACGCCCGGGGGAGACCCGGAGATTAAGATTCACATCCATCTGCCGGCGGGCGGGTGGTGCTTCAACAAGCAGGAGTGCCTTAATCGCTCCTTGACCTTCCTGGGTTCCAGTGACGGTTGGCCCACCATTATCCCCGATGTGAGTTCCGCCCCTCTCCTTCATCCTTCTCTCCCCCATCCTTCTCTCCCCCATCCCCCTATCCCCATTCAGCCTTCCCCCTGTCGCTCTCGTTCCTCCTTCCCCCTACCCCTCCGCGCAAGAGTGCCTCAACCGCTCCTTCACCTTCCTCGCCCCATTCCGCTTGCACCCATCGCTCCATTCTCCCTTACTTCCCCCTCCCCTTTCCCCCCACCCTCCCTTTTCCCCCGCCGCTCTCCCCGCGCCCGCAGTCCTTCCCCATGGGCGGCATTCTGAACAATAATCCGGACGTGAACCCGAAGTTCGCGGGGCAGCGCACATCCCCTCTTCCCCCCTCCTTTCCCCCTTCCCCCACATCCTCCCTCAGTCCGTGCCCATGGGCGGAATTCTAAACGACAATCCGGACGTGAATCCGCTCTTCGCGGACTGGCCGCTCGCGCGCATCAACTACTGCGACGGGGGGGGCTTCGCGGGGCAGCGCGGGCAGATCAACGTCACCGTCCCGAGCGCGCCTGTTGGGGGGGCGCAAGGGGGGGGAAGGGCGGGGCGGCAGGGGCGGGTGCTGGCCGGGATGAAGCCCGGGCCGGGGGGGTCGACGGGGGGCGGAGCGGGCGGGGGAGCGGTGGGGGGCGGGGGAAGCGGGGGAACGGGGGGAGCGGTTGGGGGAAAGCCGGGGGGATCGGTGGGGGGGAGGCAGAAGGTGGTGCCTCTTTACATGGACGGGTGGAACATCGTTCGGTCCATTATCGATGGTGCGTGTGGTGCGATGCCATGCCGGGTGGTGCCTGCTTTCTAAAGTGATGGTTAAGATGGTGCATGGTGCATGGTGCATGGTGCATGGTGCATGGTGCATGTGTGGTGATCATTCATCTCTCTTTAACTCCCGCTACACCCCCCACGCCCCCCACCCAGCACTCATTCCTCCCCTTACCCGCTCTCCCCGCTAACCCTGCAGACTGCCAGTCGAAGCGGGGCTTTAACCCGGCGACACAGGTCGTGCTGACTAGCAGTTCAGCAGGAGGCCAGGCAATGATATACCTCTGTGACCGCGTGGCTGCTGCCACGTGTAATGAGTCAATTATTGAGTCGACTCAAAATAAGAACCAGGCAGTGATACACCTCTGCGACCGCGTGACAGCCGCCTTCCCCTCTGCCTCCACCCATTCCTCCCGTTGCCTCCCCCGTCCATCCCCCTCCCACGCTTACCACCCCTTTCTCCCTACCTGCAGACCTCAAGACAAAGCGGGGCTTTGTGCTGCCCACATAGGTGCTCTTCTCTGGCAGCTCAGCGGGGGGCCAGGCAGTGATATACCTCTGCCTCCTTCACCCCCCATTCCCCACTCATCCATCTTCCCGCACTCCCCCACTCGTGCCTCCCTTTGTCCAACCCCTTCCCTCCCCCCGCAGACCTCAAGACGAAGCGGGGCTTTGCGCTGCCCACAGAGGTGCTCTTCTCCGGGAGCTCAGCGGGGGGCCAGGCAGTGATATACCTGTGCGACCGCGTGGCTGCTGCCTTCCCCTCTTCCCGCACCCACCCGCTGCCCACCCCCTCCCTCCCTATCTACAGACTTGAAGACGAAGCGGGGCTTTGCGCTGCCCACAGAGGTGCTGTTCTCTGGCAGCTCAGCGGGAGGCCAGGCGGTGATATACCTCTGCGACCGCGTGGCTGCTGCCTTCCCCTCCGCCTCCACCCGCTGCGTTGCAGACTCGGGCTATTTTGTCAGTAAGCTATTGCGTTCTCTCACATACAGCTTTTGGTTGCTCTTTCAGAATGTGGAGTGATGTGCCCCAAAAAAAAACATGATATATGCATGTATGTATGCATGTATAAACCGACATGAGCGTTCATTGTCTTGTCTACAAACCAAGGAACAAGAAACAGGAAATTACTGTGACTCCACTAATATTCTCTTCCACTCCTCTCACCCTCACCTCAACCCCTCTCAACACCTGCAGACTCCATAGATCGCAACGGCACGCGCCTGTGGGAGCGATTGGCAAAGAGCATCTCGACCACCCAGCAGCTCAGCAATCCCGCCTGCCGCAAACGTCAGTGCCTCCCCCATCCCCTCTCCCCCAATTGCACCTCTTTCATCGCAGCCTCTGTTTTTTTAGTTGACTCAAAGAGCATCTCAGTCACACATCCGCTCGACAATCCCACCTGCCGCAAACGTCATTGCCTTGCCTTCCCCAAGCCCACCTCCTTTCATGCACCTCCGTCACCACACTCTCTCCCGACCTCCTTTTCTTGTTGTGCCTCCGTTGCCCCTCTTTGCTCGACTCGCATTTGCAAAGAAGCAATCGCTTTTTCTGGATGCTGAAATGGTCTCTGCTCTCTGCTGGAGCAGGCTATTTACTAACAAATGACCCTTTCTCCTCCTTGCCCCCCTTCCTCTCCCTGCTTCTGCTCCCTTCTTCCTGTTCCTGCCACTTGTGACCTGCCCTACAGGGCTCCCTCCCTCGCGCCACTGGGCGTGTTTCTTTCCCGAGCAAGCCCTAATGGCAATAAAGACTCCCATTTTCGTCATCCAATCGATCTTCGACGTCGTTGCGGCGGCCATTGGAGGGCAAACACGCACCACCCCCGACCACAATTTCTACAACTACACTGCTACTGTACAGTGCGTAAACGAGCTTTTGGATATTCCAATGCCGGTTACCATATTTGTGAGGTCAGGGACGTGGCGGAACGTTCGATATAAAACAAATTACTGCAGGGCTGGAGAGCGGACCGCGATGTATAATATGGCGCAGTTGGTGTATACGGGGTTGGAGAGGGCGAGCAAGGAGCGGCAAACAAGGGGGATATTTCTTATATCGAACGGCATGCATGGTGTGGCTTTAATGGATGACAGGTGGTTGGGGACTAAGGTGAAAGGAGTTAGCGTCAGAGATGCATTGGCACGGTGGTATAACAGTAGATTGAACAAAACCTTTTTTATGCATGAGTAATACATGCATATACATGCTGTCTAAAATCACTGGCCAGATAATATTATGCTTTTATACAGGTGGTATAGGGGTTGTGGGTGGAGGGAGTGAATTTTCGTAAGTGCAAGAACCTTGATTGTTTGTTGCAAGCTAGATCCATATCGCCTCTAGAGTTGCTACGTGGTGTAGCAATCTTTTTGCGACTCATATGCGGACATCGAGGCGTTCGAGATACGTGCAATTCCTTCTCACGAAATTCTTCAACCTCCAGCGGCTGACGTGGTGAGGTGGTGAGGGCTCACCGCATCTCACGCGAATGCCGGGCCACGACGACGACACACCATGCCACACCAGCAGGGACTTGCGAGCGCCCTTTTGCCCATTCTCATCAAAATTCGCGTGCTGTCGCTAGTCACAGATTGGTTCGTCAATGTGTTCGCCACACAGTGATACGAGGAAAAGCTATCTTTGAAATCCTTGCAATTGTGTTCATCCGAAGCGCAACGAAAGGCGGTCCGAGAGGAAACCGGCAGTAATGCTCTAGCGTTCACCAGTCCCAATCCACTAACCTCAAGCTTCCGCAAACAAATCACTACGGAGCCATAACCCCACCTAAACCGAACCTAGTTCGCACCTTTACGACCGTTCGCAGTTCTCCTAACCTCAACGCAGCATTCGTTGCCCGCAAGTGGTGCCGAAACTCACGTCCAACTGCTAACCGCGCCCAGTCACACTACAGCAGCAGAAGCACTACGAACAAGGATGGCTTCGTTTAGGAGCAGAAAGTACACACCAACGTATTCGCAGTACCCAGACTCGATCAGACCAATCGCGGCTGTGTCTAGGTCAACGCACCTTCACATTCCAATCGTTCCTGCCTCGCTACATCTACTCTGTCGCTAGACGATAGTTTAGCCGGGAAAGCTAGACGATCCGTCAATGCCAGGCTACCCTAAACACATATTTCTTCCATGTTAGTGTGACCCATGAGCCGTAGTATGCTGCACCATATTGGTACGCCATCGCACATTCGTAAGCCAAAATCCATTTCGAGTTATGGCGCCTAGTTAGTTTCTCCTACCTCCAATCCAGCCGGCGGCACTTCCCGGGTCGCCTCGTACCACCCGGGCTGAGCTCGTTAACGTTTCGCAGCCAATCATGGCGAAGCCGTGGAAGGACGCCACGTGGCATTGGCGCGCGCTGGTCCTCACGCCTGTCCTTCTAACCCTTCTTTGGCTCACGTGGCCGGCCCTGCCGTCCGTCCACGTCAGCGTTGACGTCCATTGGCCGCAAGAGCGAGACTCCCTAGATTCCATCTCGCACCTTCTGAATCTACCCGCGCCGCTAGGAACTCACGCGGAGCTATCTAGGTCGGAGAAAAGCGGCGAACCTCTGCGAAATATGCAAGCAGCGGGTAACACTCCGGCCGGCATTCAGAGACAGCAGGCCGGTGACGAGGATAGACGGCGGCGTCCGGCAGGTGGGGGGGAAGAGGACGTAGCTTTGCGCGGGGGGATGCGCAGACCGGAGGGAATGCGCGGACCGGGGGGATGCGGGCGGCGGACCGGGAGTTCCGCGTGCTGCCGCTGACGGTGAAAGCGATGGCGGTTGCGAGCGCGTACCGCGTGGGGGAGAGAAGCTTCGTGGTGATGGGCGAGTACCTCACGCCCGTCTTGGGGCATCATCTGAAGCGCGCGCTCGTCGACGAGTGCACGTGGGAGGGGGATGCCGGCGACCGCGCGGTGACTGCGGCGGAGTTTCTCTGGGTATGCTCTCTCCCCCTTCCTTCCTCCCCGCCACTTCCTCTCCCCCGTACATCTCACCCGCGCGATCGCTGCCGCGGAGTTTCTCAGGGTAGCCCCCTACCCATCTCTTCCGCCCCACTCTTCCCTCCACCACCCACTGCCCCCCCATTTCACGCACGCGATCGCTGCTGCGGAGTTTCTCTGGGTAGCCCCCTATCCATCTTTACCGGCCCCCTCTCCCCTCCACCCCCTCCTTCCCCCCCCCCTCCCCTTGCCACCATTTCACCCGCGCGATCAATGCCGCGGAGTCTCTCTGGGTAGCCATGCATTTCACCGCGCTTCACCCATGCTCGCCGTTTCTGAATTCTGCAATGTCTCCCTCCTGATGTTCCCTCTTCTGTCTCTCCTCTCTCCCTCTTCCTCTCCCTCTTCCTCTCCCTCTCCCTCCCCCTCTTCCTCTTCCGTCACGTCACGCTGACGTCAGCTGCGGAAGGAGGACTATCACGGCACGCCCTGGGCGCCGGTGATGATTCGCTGCACGTTCGCGCGGCCCGTGGGGAGTGACAATAACGGGGGGTCGCTGCTGCTCCGGCGACGCGGCACGGAGGAACCGAGGGCGATTGTAAAGAAGTTCCCGTTGGTGATACAGGAGATGGAAATGGAGGTGCTTCGCGAGGAGCCAGGCGCGTTTGAGCTTATAAATAGACCGCCAATATATGAGGTGTGCTACACTACATCAAATCAATGAAATGCTGCTATATCGCATGAAAGCACTCATCTCAATTCATCATCCCACTGCTCAGATTACTCTTCCTCGTGCCCCCGCTCCCTTTTAACAACTACATTCATTCTACACAATCTTGCCACTTATTGTCGGTTCTTCCCCTTTCTCTCTTGATTCCCCTTCTTCTCCGGATTCATCCTGCAGTTGGCGCACTGTAGCGGCCCCCTTTACGGTCACCTGCGCCCCCGTGCCGTCTCCGATTGGCTACACTACCACTCGCACGCCGTGGGAGTTCAGCACTTCTTCCTCCACGATTTCGGGGCTATTAGCGGTGATTACTCCACCGCATCAGAAGATAACGCAGCACCATCAGCAGCAACAGCAGGGGCAGCAGCAGGGGTAGAGGCAGGAGCGAGTGCGGCGAGCGGGGCAATTGGAGCCAGCGGAGTGAGCAGAACGAGCGGAGTGAGAGCAGCAGACACGAGAGAAGAGGAGCCGTCTTTGGCAGAGGCCGTAGCACCCTTTGAGGCGAGAGGGCTGGTGACGGTGACGCGGCTGCTGGGGCACGAGCGGTTCCGGTCGCATTACTACCACCAGATCCTCACCCAGAACGACTGCCTCTACCGTGCTCGCTACACCGCCAGGTGATTATTACCCTCTGCTTCTCACTCCCTGAGACTCCTCATCGCACTTGTTTTACTTCACACTTCAACTTTTCCACCCACTCCGCTCCCTCCGGCCCTTCCTCCCCCGCGGGTGGGCGAGTATTTTTCACGCCCCTCTTCACACTCAGACCCCTCTGCACCCTTTCCCACCGCTCCCTGCTCATCACCCCGCTGGTCGCTAATCTTCACAGACATAGACGAGTACATCTTCACTCCCCAACCTAACCTCTCTCCACCCCTTCCCACCGTCCCTCATCCCCCCGCAGGTGGCTCATATTCACGGACATGGACGAGTACTCATTCACTACGCAGTCTGACCCCTCTGCACCCTACCCTACCACTTCCCATCGCCCACCATCTCCCTCCTCATCCCCCTGCAGGTGGCTAATCTTCACGGACATGGACGAGTACATCTTCACTCCGCCCCCCGCGTCGCTCTCCTCTGCGCTGGCGGGTCTGGCGCGCTCCAGCCGCGCGTGGGCGTCCATGGGCGCGTACTGGGGCTTCATCACGCGCTGCCGGGTTAAGGTGCCTGATGATACCGGCAGTGCCAGCACTGGCACTGACAGTGGCAGCAGCGGCAGCAGTGGCAGCGGTAGTGGTATTGTCAGCAGTGGCAGCAGTGGCAGTGGTAGTGGTATTGTCAGCAGTGGCAGCAGCAGCAGCGGTGGACTCAGCACAAGCAGAGGGGCAAGGGAATTGATGGAAACAGCAGGAGGGTCTGGTGAGGAGGAGGTGAATGGATATGAGGCGCAAGGGCTCAGGGAGAAGGAGCTTCTGGTGGGTTATTTACCCATGAGGAGCCGACTGCCCATCTGCAGTAGCCTCAACTACAGTGAACCCGCCACCATCAACACAACAAAAGCTTTTTTCTGCCCGGAGCACTTTGGACGGAGGAAAGTGGTTTTGGACCCGCGGAGAATCGACCAGGTTACTGTTCATGAAGTGCTGCTTCCGGGGAATGCCACAGGGGAGGTTTGGAATGCTTCTTATGAAGCTGGAATGCCTGTTATAATGCACTACAGAGGCATCTTGAATCAGGAGAAGATGCCGAGATGTGTGAGAGTGAGAGTGGAGGATACTGTGGGGAGTGAGGGTGAGAAGGAACAGTTGAACGTGATAGATTTCGCGTTCTCAGATTATGTTCAGCAAGCGTTGGCTGTCGTTTCTTAAGAGTAATTGTATAAAAAGCAGTCAACATCAATTCTTGTTTTGTTCATTAAAAAGATCAAAAACTTCCTAATTTGATATGCTTGAATCTGTATTGTTTTAGAATACTGTGGTCTGGTGGTCCCATGATCTAGCGGTTATGATGTCAGACTCTGAATCTGAATGCCCGAGTTCAATTCTCGGTGGGACCTTTTTCTCACTTCTTGTTGCTCTTTCTCTCGATTACTGTACCCATTGCCGAATGCACCAGACGTCCTTTCTCATGCTGGACCAGACACGCCGGACGCTCCGCACGCACTTGTCGCGAGGATTCCCAACGAGCCGCGAACCGTGTGGCTGCTAACTCTAGTGTCCGGCGTGCTGCGTCGTGGAGTGAGCATAGATTCTGGCAGCAATTGGGGATCTTGTATCTGAGGTAATGTAGATCACACAAGCAACACGAAAGCAGCAGCACAGCAGCACCTGCCGCGGGTTTAGGAAACGAGAAGAGTAACCGCACGTTTGAACGCCACGCAACGACATAGATCTGCCCAGCTGGCAGGCAGCTCAGCCATGGATCTAGCGTTTGTGTTGAGGTGAGGGGGGGGAGGTTCTTATTCCAGAAGGCCTGAGGAGGACCAGGGTCTTAGGTCCTTATGTCCTGGCGTGTCTCAGGTTCCTGTGCATCGGTCACTTGCACCGTGTCCCTCAGATCATTCTAGCGTGAATTGGCCCGTATCTCTTATGATTTCCTAACTAATTTCTAGTGCTTATGTGCCTACTTCTATCAGGCACATTCGTAGACATTCGCTCGGAAATTTTGCCTTCATCTCGTGAGACTTCTGCGTAGTCTTATTTTCATCTCTTACGCACTGCTTGTACCTCAGCCTTCCAGTTGAGACTCTGAACTTGCCAGTGCTTTAGGTTCATCTCAGTCGCGTCGCGTCCAGCACCACAATGTTGACTCCACCTCGCTTCCATCGCAGAAGCTCTAGCGACGTTATAATTTCGCAGAGCCCATCGTCGTCATGCTCCCTGACGGCTCCGCCAGACTTTACGCGACGGATTCCGACTCCGTTGCAATCACGGCGCGCCGAGTCCTTGACCATTATCCCGACCATGACGTCTTCGCTACCGCCTCCGATGGCGGATTCGCGCCGTTGTCGCCAAAACAAGTGCTGAAGCCAGGAGGCACGTATCAGATCGTGCGGCGCAATTTTTTTCATCTGGGATCAACAAAGAATGCTGCTTCAATGTCAGCGCGTTCCAGAAGTTTCCCCGTCGATCTGGATACGATTTGTTCGGGGACGACGGAACGTCAAGTTGACGTCAGGTGTCGTCAGCCAAGATCCTGGGAAAGGAGGATCTCGACATCACTTCGCGACGACCTAATGAAAGCACAAGCATGTTGGAGCAGTCTTCGCAACCGAGACAGGGCCCTGATGGCACCGCAGGGGGGACAGAGCAAGAAAGAGATAATCGGAGCAGTTTGGGCTCCTATCCGTCCAGTGTATCGCTCGTTCATCCTAGGGTCTCATGTCCTAGACCTGGGACCTCTGATGGCACTTACCGCGGCAATCCTGCATCCAGTGGCCGGTTCTTTAGGAGGTCGCACTCTCGCAAGAATTCAACATCAGAGGACCTTTTGAAGGCTGCTCAGCTGCAGCAATTGGCTGGAGAAGTTAGGATAAGTGGATATCCCAGTCTCAGCTCTGGTGATGGACGTATGATTATCAAATGTACAAATATTACTGACTTCGCCAGCACCCTAAACCCATCTCTTGCATTTTTAGGGGTCACTGTAACAGCTAGCACTTCAACCCATCGCTACCAGTCACTCGTCACCAATTGTTAGGGGTGGCCTGGATCGTCTGTGCCGTCCGATGGAATTTGCGAACATATGTACTTCGATGCCGCACATCGCCTTGGGATCGACGGCATCCAAAACCTTCTCCGCTCCTCGCGGACGATTGAAGGCTAAGATTGGTTTTCAGCCACGCAAATAAATAATCGACGGGTGAATGTGTTCCGATGTGGCACCAGCCAGTGGTTGCCGCAGCGTCCCCACCAGATAACAAATGGGTGCGTGGTGCATGTTGCGTGGTGTCTGGTGCAAGGTGCATGGTGCCAGCCAGCTGCATCACCGCATCACTCGAATTGGATGGAACCAAGGGTCGAAACGGTGGGGGGTCGCGGAACGGTGGGGGGAACCGGTCCGGGGCGAACCAAGCAAATCCTCGTAGAAAGGCAGCCCACGGTATTGAGTGGTGACCTGCTTTCAATCACGGTAATCGGCGGTGCAAAGGAAACTCCCTCATCCTCCAAGAACTCAACTTTGGACGTACCGGTAAGCCATCCGTCACTAAAACTGGGAAAGAGCGGCAAGGCGGCCTAGGAGGCACAGAACCTAACACGGAGGTTTTGCATTCTGACAATTCCGTAGGTTCACACCGAGAAATTCAAGGCTTTTTTGTCAGAATGCCATGGCGGACTGACTAATCTGATAAATTGCTCGCCTATCCCTAGGTTGCGTGAGGATAGACGTGTTAGCTGTGTTCGAGATTCGCCGTTTCCCGTGAGTTTTTTCCAGCACGTGTCAATGGCGCTGGACGTTACTTGGGGACAAGGCTGGGCTCTCGCCGCGGCTGGCGCGTTACTGATCGCCTTGTACTGCTACACCGTAGTCAAACCCACGCGCGTCGGTCTTCCCAGGCTAATCGTCTCCATACCCGCTCTTACGGCTAACATATTTCTTCCATGGATCTTCCGGCAAGACGATCAGGTTCTTGGCGTCGTAATCGTCTACTGCATCACAGCATGGCTCAGCTCGTTCAAGCTCCTGTGCTTTTGCTGGAACACTGGGGTTCTTTCCAGTCCCTGGATTTCGTCCGACATTTACCGCTTCGTCGCGGCGCTTTCCCTCCCGATTCACATTCAGCCGATTGTTAAGGACGTCTCTGCCAAACCGGGTGCTGACGTGACTAACCAGAGCCTAATTGATTGGGTTATTGATGCGGTACAGTCGGAGACGTGGACTATGCTTTTAATCCGAAGCAGTTTCAAGCTTTTGGTATTTAGTTACACAATGCAGCTGATGGCGTATCTCGACGTCGCCCCGCTCTTCTTCATGCACGTCGTCTTTTCCGTTAACCTCTTCCTCTTCGTAACCATCGTCTGCGAAGCTTTCGCCGGCGTCGCAGCAGCGTTCCTGGACATCGATATGCTACCGCACTTCAACCACCCCTACTTCGCCACGTCATTCCAGGAGCTCTGGGCGCGACGGTGGAATCTCACCGTCAGTACGTGCCTTCGCGAAACTATTTTCGAGCCCGTGAAATTCGCCGTCATGTGGTGTACCACTCCCCGTACAGCCACATCGTCGTCAGCGTCTGAAGCAGAATCAGCGTCGTTTGCAGCAGCAGCCGCAGCAGGGTCAGCGGCAGCTGATCGGAGCAACAATTCCCTTCCTGCTGAAGCTCAGATGTCTCATATACAAAATGGAGAGAAGCAGAACGGTGCGATACAGAACGGAGGGGTACATTGTAACGGAGCTGAACGGAAATCTCACAGCAAGGCACCAATAACGGAGAGTATACTAGCGAAGCTGTTGGGGATGCTGGCGACGTTCTTTGTGTCCGGATTGGCTCACGAGATGGCCGTTTGGTACATGAGTAACAGGGTTACAGGCGAAATGACGCTGTTCTTCACTCTCCACGGGATTGTTTCTGCTACGGAATGTTACATCATGCGTCAGCGGTCAGGGAAAGGAAGCCAGGACAGAAAGGCCAGGCAATCTGCACCAGGGGGAGGTACTGACTCTAGCATAGCTGCTGCTAAATCGGAGGGGGGGAGAACACGGTTGAAGCTGTGGGGGTTGAAGGATGTAGCTGCGTGGATATTCGTGGTAGGGAGCTCCTTGGTCTCCGCGCATTACCTCTTTTTTGGTCCTCTGACCAGGCTGAGGCTGAGCCATGAGGTTATTAGAGAAGTGCGGAATGCTCTGGGGCACCTGTCATTGGCTGGTCAGGCACAGTGAGATTACCCCAGGAAAGTGAGGTCTCTCTGGGAGTGTGATATCTTTTGGGAGAGTTGAGTGACCTCAGAAAAGTGTGTTTCTCTTAAAGAGTGGGTTCAACTTGGGAGTACGACGGCCTAGGGTGTTAGGCTTGAGCATGTTCCAGGCTACCCGCTAGAATCCGCTACAGAATGTTGGAACGCGGTGGCATGCGCAAGTAACCCTCCAGAAGCTTTGCAGCAGCATCTGGGAAAGCACCTGGGTAGGACGGTTTCTTATTCCTTGTGGCCCAGTTCTGAAGGGACACATAAATTTCGTAGCAGAAGCAGATCTAGCAGGGACAGTAGGAGCTGGAGCCGTTTTGATAAATCGAAGCTAAGCAGATATGAAGAAACAGGTTCAACAAGTGGTGCATGGTCTGTGCTTGGTCTAGTGGACGGATTGATGGGGCTTTGAAGAGGAATTGATGCTTCAGTTACTGCTCCAAGGCTTGCCCTGCGATGTGGAGGTACCGTATCAGAAGGGGACAAATACAATTGAATGGCCGTCACATCACATCATGCGGGAATTCACATCAATCTGTTGCTTTGAAAAGCACAATCTAAGAAAGTGCTTGTGGCTGGGAGCAGCTGCTCAACACTGGACCACGCCCGGTTCACAAAAGCCACGAAGGGTAACCATAGGTACGTGCTGCATAGTCTCAAAGCAACAGCACAAGGGGTTGAAGCATCTAACATAGAGCTACAGGCGGTCAACACAATTCAAGCTGGTCTCCAACACCGAACCTAAAGCTGCATGGGCAGACATGCAGTATACCGCATAGGCTACACGTGTGCACACACACATCAATATGTCGCTTGGAGGAGAGGTGGTCCAGAGAGGTATCTCTCACTAGCAGGAGGCATGACGTACTCGTTTCTAGCTGCTGCACTACCGCTTCGCTCCCGTAGCGAATCCTCACTTAACCTAACCTGCGCCCTCTGCAGAGGTGTCAACCCAGAAGAGTAACTGTGCCACTCGTCGCAGCGTTCCAAGGGGTGTTCACCCCCCTGCGCAGCTGCAAGGGAAGCAGCACGCTGGAGTTCCCAGGAAGCAGTCGCGTAAACCCCTCCTGCAAATTCTGTCGAAAATTGTGTCTGTTGGCCGATCACTGGTTCCCCCCAGGGTGGGTGGGGACGGGTGGGTTCCCATGATCCTTGCTCCGTGACGATGGAAGGAGCCCAAGTGACCCCATGTCGTTCCTGCTCGGGGAATACCCCCTGTCGCCCCATGCCGCTGCTGCTGCTTCCTGAACCGGGCGGCGCGAGGTGGCGGATGCGCGTGTCCGTCATCATGAGCATGGGACCTTCCATGTCAACCCAGCCCTGCGCTGACTCAGCATCATCATCACCGCACGTCGTCCCCGAGCGGCCGAAGCCACGATGAGCCGCAGCCGCAGCGGCAGCCACTGCGAGCGGGGGAAGGTCAGCATTGCGTCTTGCGGATCCCACAGACCCCACAGACATGCTCTCAATAAACCCCTCGTTCCCAGGCAGAGGCGCATCAGTAGCAGCCATGGCTTCCTTGCCGGATGACGAAGCCGACGCGGCGCGGCGCAGGTGGCGCGGGGTGAAGCGCGCGAGCGCCGCCAGCACCTTGCCTTTCAGCGACGCCGCCTCCGCGACGGCTGGCGGCGGAGCGCGGGCGCGGGGAGCGCCGGGCGCGCCAGATGTCGCAGCAGCACTGAAGTTCAGGTCCCTAGCAGGCTCTTCAAGGGGCATCTCGAGGGGAATTTCCTCTTCTAGAACGGCCAACTGCACGGAGCAGCACGGGGAGAGAACGCGTTTGAGGCTCAATCAACGGCAATTTTCGAAACTAACCTGCTGAAAGCTCACAAACGTCTTTCTATACCTCGGCGAGGATGGCGTTCGGCGCGGCTCGCGGAGAAGGGGCCACGTGGCATCGCAATGGAACCTCATCGGCGTGAAGCATAGAATCGTCGCCGCTATTGCCGCGCTGCGCGCCGCAGTACGTCCTCGATTTCTGGAGCACAGGCGCTTTCCAGTCGTCGGTATAGTAGCCGTGACGGCCGTTAAACGAACTTGACGGCCCGTCATGATGGCGTCGGCTCCAGTCCGACTCATCGTCGTTGTCGTCAAAGCTGCTGCCTCGGCCCGAACCGAAGCTTTCTTGCGCGCCGAAGCAGGTTTCGAGGGTCTCTTCGCGGCTCCGCGTGCTGCCGCTGGCGCAACTCGGCGACTCGGCGGCCGACGACGACGAAGCGCACGACCACACGCCGGCGGTTTGACTTAGATTCGGAATTGACTCAACCGCCGCCGCCGCCGCCGCCGTTATCGACGTTGATCTCGTCTGAAGCGTCGAGGAATGATTGAACGACACATTCGCGACGCTCGCTTCTAAATCGCGTCGCAAAGCCCAGCCGCCGGCGGTGGTGCCTCGCATCAGGGGGATGTTACCGTCGCTCACGGCGCGGGGGCTGCGCAGAGGGAGAGAAGCCGGCGCGCGGAAGGCGGATGCGCCAGTCGAAGCAGCGGGGGACGTCGTGAAACGGATTGAATTGGCCTGTTCGCGAGCGGACGCGCGCCTCGGCGTGAGAAAATAGGTTTCGCCTGGCAAAAGTGGCGCAGACGGGGAAACTGGAACGTCAAGCGACGCGAGGCTCATGCCGGGGAATTCCAAGAGGACGGTTTGGGCGGAGAGTGGCGTGTCATCGTTGGAGAAAAGGCGAATAGAGCCGTCCTGTAGCACGACAATTACTGGCTCGAGACCGTCGGAGCTCGCGCTGCGGTCCCGAGACCTATTCGAAAAGATGCTCCCAGCCATGACGTTGCAGAGAATTAGAATCAGTGGTCAGTTGTTGAAATTGTAAGAACGGAATTAAAAGATGCTTGCTTGCTCGGAAGGTCGATGTGGGATGAGGGAACAGCATACTTTGCTGTTGAAACTGGATCAGCAGAATAAGAAAAAGCTTCCTTATCTGTTTCGAAACTGGAGACGATAGGATAGGACGACGTGCAGTGCGTGAGCAGAGTGGGTGGGTGTGTTTCTAAAACGAGGGAAGATCAGGGCTGCTGAAAATGAGAGAGCGGCGCGAGATTCCATGTGTGGGGGACAGATAAACAACAGTTGGATTGGTCGGGAGGAAAATGGGGACAAACGGGTGCACTGCTCAGTCCGTCGGACGAAAAGGAATTGGTTGTCGGGAAAATGGGGGGAAATGAGGTGGCTTGGTTGGATCACCAGATATTTTGCGTTGCGATGCGATCCCTTTCCGCTTCCAGATATTTTATACGGCTGACAACTGTCACGACTAGAGAATCGCGATGCGGAAGTTTCTTTTATTTTTTTTCCAGTGACAAGTATCCTAAGCATTTTCGCTCAATACAAAGTAACGTACTATAAAAATGTTACTACTGTACTGGAATATACAAACGTTTCTATCGCTCTTAGTACTGTCAAGAGCTCGATATACAGTTCTCACCTTCCTTCGGTCAGGCAGTCACTGACCGACTTCTGTGCGACAATTGAAAACATGAATGGCTTGGTTTCCAATAGAAATTCAGCAACACGCTGAAAAGGTCAGAAAGAGGGTCCCTTTTCTGGACCTTTACCGTCCACATGGGGGCGCATCTATGGTTGTATAGCTTTTTGTTGAAAATATAGAGGTGACAAGATGCTTGGAATGATGCAGTACGGTGATATTGGTGCCTATTGCGGGTAGCGTGATTATTTTGCAACTTTAGTTTCCTCCAATCTTGGAAAAGAGAATTGAGGCCCTGCGCAGGGCCTCAGGTCTCGTAAACAGTAAAACAAAGGCCACTGCCTTGTCTTCTTGCAATGCGGACAGGTGGCTTGGGAAGATCTTACACGTGTGCCACACTTACACAATCACCATCGTGATCAGCCGTTTTTGAGCCTCTAGAAACATTCATCGATACAACTTTATCAAACAATCTTATTCACGTGTTCTGTATCCTACAAATTTGTTCAAATTGCGTTTCCATAATAAGTGAGCCATTTCCGCCTCTTCTTTCAAAACGCAAGACATAACAGCTCGAAATTCGCATGACACGCTTTTTCATTCCAATATAATGTAAATAGTTGTGATTCAACAGTCAAAACAAAAAATAGTCCGAGTAATTTTGTATCGACCAGATTATTAGTTTCTTTAAAGATTTTTTAAAGGTGGCCTGATACAAGTTGACATTGATTGAGCTCTGTTTGTTGAGCAAGAACGGGTATTTCGTTAGCGGAGTATTTGGGCAACCGACGTTTTCGACATTGGTTTTCCAGCCACCACTGCAGCGGCTTGGCAAATCCCGCCTTTGAAATTTCAGCACAGCACCACGACGGTCCGCACTCATCGAGTCGCGTCCCTACCAGATGGCCAATGGAGTTTCCCGCTCCTTCCCAAAGCGCCGGTGGGCCGCTGCATTCCAAATTTCCAGCGCGTCAAAATTACAGCTGCAAACACCACCCCAGTCAATTTCTCTGAGGTTCCGCCATCCGCACGCACATTGGCTTGGGAGAACCAAACGTACAGATAGGGAGAGTAGAGAGAGAGAGCGGCTAAAAGAAGGAACGGGAAAGGAAGCATCCATGCAGGTGATATGGTCGTTTTGTCAAGCGTGCAAACGGCTATTGTGCTCTTTCGGTGGCGAGGCAAGGTGCCCTCGAAGCCCTGTCGAACCGCTCCGACAGAACAGACGACCGACGAAAACATGGCGGGATGAAACGAATGTGCGAGTTCGTGCCCTTTAAATGTAGGCCAATGAAAGTGTTGGACAATCAGCCACTGCTCACATCTCCACTTCACTTATCTAATCATCTAGACTCACTTTCTTGTGAGTGACAGTCTCATTCGACGCAGCAGTCCGATCCAGAAATCCATAATTTGACCTTAGTCGATCAATCCACGCTAACCAGCCTCTATCACTCACCAGACTCGAAGCAAGTCAACAAGAGCTATGGCTCGCTCAGTAGCCTTCGCCGTCGCGTTAGCCGCGCTGGCCGTCATCTGCGCCGTGTCGTCCGTCAGCGCGATAACCGCCGCGCCGGGAACAGTACCAGCCCCGACCGCCAGGGGAGCGCCGGCAGCAACGGGAACGGGCGTAGCGCCGAAGCCGAAGGCAGGGCCGCCGCCGACGAAGACGCAGCTGCGCGCCGAGCTGAAGAAGCTGTCGGCGACGATCACGGCCAAGTACCCCAAGTACTCCAAGTACTCGACGCAAGTCAACAAGGCCATCAACGTCGCCCGTGAGTCCCGTCACAACAATCCCAGCATGCATAGCATAGGGCCTTCTGGTAGTCCTGCTGGGAACGACACTGGGAGCACCCAGAATGTGCGTGTCTGAAATGCCATTCAAGGGGCCTCATGGGAGTCTTGCTAGCAACTGTTGCTCAGTCTCGTCAGCCGCCAGACGCTTCCGTTTCGGCCCTCTCCATGCTGTTATGCCACACCCTTCTTGATCCGCTTTTGATGGCAATCATTCCTTTCCTAACCGTGTCCATTTCATTCTCCCCTCACTCCCCCGCCCATCCCCGATACAGTGAACTCCAAGTACAACCTGACGGCGCTGCAGAGCGCGACGATTCTGCTGATGAGCGACGTGGTGGCGGACCGGCTGTCGCTGCGCTTCAAGGGCAAGAAGCTCTCCAACGACGCGGCCTACAACCTCACCGCCGTCCAGATCATCGCCACGCGCCTCCAGATTGCGGACCTGCAGGCGATCAAGAAGGGCCAGCTGCTGCCGACGCAGCTCAAGGGGGTTAACCTGGTTAAGATGTCGCCGGCTGGGCCCAAGGTGATGCTGGGGCAGCAGGGCCTGGCGAAGCCGACGTGGAGCACGGTGCTGGACCCACAGATGTACGTCGGGCCGTACTTCGTCGCGCACGGTGTTGACAACCCGCAGTTCCCCGTGGGTACCAAGCTCCCCGCGTAACGCGAATGCTGGAAAAGGGCTGGGTGGGAGCGTATACGGAAACGGGCCTGCTTGAAGCTTACAGGCCCGATTTGGAAGCGTATACGAATGCAGGTTATACATAGCGCGTTTGGCGCGGATGTGATGCATCCTGCACAAGGCGTCCGTATGGAGTCTTGTGACTCGCTGCTTGGTTGCCATGTTAACTCAATGGCTACAGGTTTCACTTAGGCTGGAACTTTAGGGAGGATCCTCACATGCGAGGTATTTTGCTGTTATTTTGACTCCATTTCTCATGTTTTTTTTTTGGAAAATCTGAAAGAGGGTGGAGGCCCTAACTTGCAAACCTTCCAAACCATCAGTTTTAGCCACGATTTTCTGTAATAGTATGCTACTTGCTGGGGCTGAAACGCCCACTCGGAAATATACATAACGCATATTGGAAAGTCTAGAAAGTGATTTCCGAAATTTCTAGAGAATTGAGCTATAACAAAGACGGTACGCAAATATCTTGTAAACAGTGGAAGTGAAGCGTACTGTAGTTGCGGAAACATCTGTACAGTTCAGGTGGTGCTGCTGTGGCAGCCAGTTTCAGCTCACCAATTGCAGCCCCTCTCGCTTCATTTGTCACAACACCATAGGCTCCCGCACTTTGGTGGGTGGTGGCCTGTGACAGGTTACGAATTTTGCGAAAGCCTCATTCCCTCGCAGACCCGTAAGGCATCACAATCTCACGGTCTCGATAGTGCCACCTCAGCAGGCCAGCCGAAGCGGTTACCAGCAAGTTCCTCATCGGATCTGGCGTGAAGTGACTCTTTGGGAACAGTTTGACAGGCAGACCCTTGGGGAGAGTTTCCCTCCAATTCCTTGGTTCTCCTGGCACCGATCGTATCCTGCTGGCCTGGAGAATTGTGCTAACAGGCACCCTATTCCAGGCAAACAGGGAAATCTCCTGGCTTCATATTTCTATCGATCAGGAGAGCAAGCTCAGTGTTTGCAAGCGGTAGCTAAGACTGGTGGTCTTTTCAGCACGCTGTGCTGTCCTGCTGTCCTGCTCCGGCTGTCTTTCCAGTCGATCGCGAATCAGCTTCCGGTTAGCTTCGGTGTGCCGATCGATCAGACATGGCGGAGCAGAAGAAGGGGTCGGTGTGGAGTTCCGTGAAGCCGTTCGTGAATGGCGGAACGGCCGGTATGATGGCCACGTGCGTGATCCAACCCATCGACATGGTTAAGGTTCGATACTTGCTTCCCGACGCCGACCAAATCTGACCATTGTTATCGATGAATAATGAGAATGGTTATCTGTAAATCTTAAGCCAGGTCATCTTGAATGAACACCAGCGACCATCCTATCACGATCTGTTACTGAACATGCACTGCTTGTGTTTTCGTTCTCCATTTAATTACTCCCCCTTTTTTGTCTCCCTGTCTTTTTATTCCCTTGCATGCAACAGGTCCGGATCCAGTTGGGTCAGGGTTCGGCGTTTGAAGTTACTAAGAACATCCTCCAGAAGGAAGGCGTCGGGGCTTTCTACAAGGTAACATAGTGCGTCGGTTCAAATTTTTTATATGCTCGTTACGGATATGAACACTATCTTAGATTTAAAGCATAATGGCTTTACAAACCCTTTCATCAGCTGCGCCTACAAGTATCGAACGTGCTTTGACGCCAGACACTCGTTTCAGGGAACCTGTCTGCTCTTTTGTCTAAAATGAGGCGATCGGTTGCCCTAGCGAGTTGAGCACTCGCCATCTCGACTCTTGCCTCACATTCGTATTTTAGATGTACAAAGTTTGACTTCGATTCGAGCACTTGCCATCTTGCCCATTGCTGATCGTGTTATTATCTCTTTGCCTTCCTCTCTTCAGGGTTTGTCTGCGGGTCTCCTCCGACAAGCCACGTATACCACCGCTCGCCTTGGATCCTTCAGGTACGTCGCATTTTCCAATCACATACTACATTCCTCTTGTAACATGCAGTCACCCGACTACTAGATTTTGCTAGCGAGGTCCCTGCATCCTTACGCATTTTAATGTGTCAGCACATGCCATGCAAGTGACGTGCATTGACAGCGCTAGGGTTGTAGAATCGCAACACAAGATTCCATATGGAACCACGTTTCGCAAAAGTGAGTTAGTTGACGTCACTTTGACGTCAGTTATCATCGTCAAGTGGAAGGCTTTGAGAGTCCCATATGCCACGGTCTGGGCGGGATGTACCTCTTCGTTCTCCGCGTCAGTGCTCCGAGAGATGCTGTACGCGTGGGGGACGCGCGCAGATCCGAATCCCACTCGCATCCACTCCTCTCCAGGCAAATTCCGCAGAAGTCTTGTTTTAGATATCGTGGGTTCAATCCCGTACATCTCTTGGTTCGCTCATTCCCAGCCACATCTCTCGACCTCCTCCCGTCGCTGATCCGCAGATATCTCACCACGGAAGCCACCAAGGCCAACGACGGCAAGCCCCTGCCGCTCTACCAGAAGGCGGCGTGCGGGCTGACGGCGGGCGCCATCGGCGCGTGCTTCGGCAGCCCCGCGGATCTCGCGCTCATCCGCATGCAGGCGGATTCTGTGCTCCCCGCGGCGGAGCGCCGCGGGTACAAGAACGCGATTCACGCTCTAACGCGTATAGCGGCGGACGAGGGCGTGTTGGCGCTGTGGAAGGGCGCGGGTCCCACGGTGGTCCGTGCGATGGCGCTGAACATGGGCATGCTGGCGTCGTACGATCAGAGCATGGAGTACTTCAAGGACACGCTGCAGCTCAAGGAGATCCCTGCTGTTATCGGTGCGTGCCTGTAACGGGGATGAGAGAGTAATGCGTGGGCTGTTAGGGGATGCGGTAACATGGGCATGCTGGCATCGTACGATCAGAGCATGGAGTACTTCAAGGACACGCTGCAGCTCAAGGAGATCCCTGCTGTTATCGGTGCGTGCTTACAGCGAGGGTGTGACAGTAATGCCTGTGGTGATAGGGAGTTGTGGTTGTGGGCGGCATGGTGCTGGCGTGGGCATGGTGTGCACGGTCGGAGTGCGAAGCACATGGTGTAGTGCATCTCTGCTCCTCTCTCAACCACCTCCTTACTTCTTCCCACCCTTGTGAGCGAGCCTTGTGTTCCTCTGCTGCCCCCCAAGCCCCCCCCCGATCCCGCCTTTCCCCATCCGCCCATGCCCCATCCCTCACGCGCGAGCGCGGTATCAGGACTTTACCATCCGCATGCATTTAGCCATTTGACTACGTGAAGACGCAGATCCAGAAGCAGAAGCTCTGAGAACCCCCTCCCACATCCCTCCTAACGTCCCCCATCCCTCAGGCGCGAGTGCGGTATCCGGATTCTTCGCATCTGCATGCAGTCTGCCATTCGACTACGTTAAGACGCAGATCCAGAAGCAGAAGCCGGGGCCGGACGGCAAGCTGCCGTACAGCTCCTCCATGGACTGCGTGCTCAAGACGCTCAAGCAGGGTGGCCCCCTCAAGTTCTACACCGGCTTCGCCACCTACTGCATACGTATTGCGCCCCACGTCATGGTGCGTCTCGGTGTACTGCGGTGAAGAATGTGGGCTTGACATGATGGGGTGTGCTGGTTTGATGGTTTGGTGTGTTGGTTTGTTGGGGTTTGGGTGTGATGTGCAAGATGTTCAAGAAGGGGGCCCCCTCAAGCTTTGAACGGCAAGCTGCCGTACAGCTCCTCCATGGACTGCGTGCTCAAGACGCTCAAGCAGGGCGGGCCCCTCAAGTTCTACACCGGCTTCGCCACCTACTGCATACGTATTGCGCCCCACGTCATGGTATGTGTGGGTTTGGTGTGGTGATTGCGTGTGGGTGTGTTGTGATGGGGTATGCTGGTTTGAGTCCTTAGTGTGGTGTGGTTCAAGACGCTCAAGCAGGGCGGCCCCCTCAAGTTCTACTTCTACACTGGCTTCGCCACCTACTGCATACGTATTGCGCCCCACGTCATGGTGCGTGCCGGTTCAGTGCGGAGGTGTGGGTGGGTTTGACGTGATGGGGTGTGCTGGTTTGGGGTCTTGGTGGGGTTTGGGTGTGCCACTGACGCTCAAGCAGGGCGGCCCCCTCAAGTTTTACACCGGCTTCGCCACCTACTGCATACGTATTGCGCCCCACGTCATGGTATGTGTTTAGGATTTAGGGTGGTGGTGCTTGTGTTTGCTGTGGTGGTGTGGGCATGTTTGACGTGACTGGGTGTGCTGGTTTGACGGTTTAATGTGGTTTGGATGTGCCTCTCAGGCTTTGCCATTTTCTGCATAATCATCGTTTCCCATGTCATGTGTGGGTCTGGGGTAGTAATGTGGTCGGGTTTGCTGTTGGTGTGTGGATGCATCTGCTGATAGGGTTTGACTGGGTTACCTGTTGGGGTAGACCGGGTTTGATGTCGTGGCTTGCTGTGCTTTCTTTCTCTGACGCTTTTGGTTTTAATTCTGGTGGCTTTCTGTGCTCTCTCCTCTCGGCTTGTCTCTGCAGCTGACCTGGATCTTCCTCAACCAAATCCAAAAGATTCAGAAGGCCAATGGCTTGTAGGGAGCCTCTGCACTTAGCTGGACCCTTGTTACACCGACAAGTATTCCAAATCTGCTATTCTATACACTAGCTAGCTCGCTGCCAAATCTCCCACAGGATGCTGACAATTCTTTGCAGTCGTTGAGCCCCTTATATTTGACTTGTGATCTCAGTTGTACCATGATAATCCTAAAGTCAAACGCGTTCAGATGTTGGAGTACGTTGCGTAAGACAAACAGAGAGCTTCCACCAGCCTGGTCTGCTGGAGCAACACCCCAGGCCCCGAGCATGCCCCCACCTCCATTATGCTGGTAATAGGGCGGTTGCAATGTTACTGGAGCCTCCTTGTGATAATTTCAAGCGTTTTCCTTCCAAGAGTGAAGGTTTTTTGTGATTATGGAGTCATGCTACCGTATATGGACTAGATTAAACAAACACTTTACATTCAGACTGGCTGGCTGGCAAGGTACTATCAGGTGGCAACCTACACGGGATAGAGCACCATGACGAGGACAGCATCTAGGAAGAAATATGGCGTGGACATTGACCGAAGCACATATTTACCGTACTATACATAACACGAACACATACTAGGCAGACTATACACTCGTGCACCAAGGATAAGCACAAATGCTGATGGTCTGGGGATGGTACTGGCGTCGGGAGCATGGCTATTGCTTCTGCTGCTGCTGTGGCTAAGCATCTTCCCTGAATGCACCGCCCCACTCCCCCCCCACCCCCCTCCTCCCCCTCTTCCCTCACCCCCTCCCTACCTCCCAACCGTACCGAACAAACCCAGCGAGCCCGACCCGGCCCTACTTGATTTTGAGAACGTCCTTGATGCCGTTGAGGCAATCTCTCCCCTTGCTGACGAAGTAAAACGTCTTGCCCAGGTCGCAGGGTTTCAAGATCCACCACCCACCATCCCTACTAAACCAGCGACCCCAACAATCTCCGCACTTCACGTGACCTTGAGAACGGCCTTCATGCCATTGAGGCAATCCTTGCCCTTGCTCACAAAGTAGAATGTCCTCCCCAGATCGCTGCGCTGGGGAACCCACCCGCCCGCCCGCCCCCCCCTCCCCCACAACCCCCCCACCCTACCGAACCCAGTGAAACCGAGCCCCTACGTGACCTTGAGAGTGGTCTTCATGCCGTTGAGACAATCCTTGCCCTTGCTGACGAAGTAAAACGTCCTCCCCAGGTCGCTGGGCTGCGGGATCCAAAACACGTGCCCCGCACCCGACGGGCGGAAGAGCTCTTTGGTGCCCTTGACGTTGCACGTGGCGTATTTGACCGGGTCCTCCATTATGTAGACGCTGTGCACCTGGCCCGACAGCCATCGGAACACTGTACAGTAACGGGGTTCGCAATGCAGGGGATGGAAAAAAGATTAGCATTCAGACGATGCCGAGTTGACGTTGCACGTGGCGTATTTGACCGGGTCCTCCATTATGTAGACGCTGTGCACCTGGCCCGACAGCCATCGGAACACTGCAAACGAAACGGATTGGCAATATGGGGGATGGAAATATATTGGTACCGGAAGGTGGCGAGTGCGGAAGAGCATATGTGACGAGGCATTTGCGTGTTAAAGATGATTCTTAAATAAACAAATCTTGTTGTTAACTTACTGACTACATCGAATGGGTGTACTGCTCCAGCATGGTAGTTCTTCACTGTAGGGCCCCACGGGTCGGCAGGGTTACCGTAACCGAAGCCCACGCAGATTATTCGCCATCCTTTCGGTGTCGGCGCTGCTCGGGGGAGGGACGAAAGCGGAAATAGCGGAACGAGAGGGGAAACGGAGGTGAGGGCGAAGCATGCGATGTGCCGCCTAGTGGGCTTCGAAGCTCCCACCGGGCTGGGAGTCGAGGTGAATGCGCTACTAGGATAGGACTGGTATGTCATGATAGCATCGCGACAACGTTCATTGGGGTGCATTACTGCAAAGAGTTGCTTTTGAAGTAGAAAATGTCCCAGTCTTCTGAGTTGTTTTTACGCGTTGCCTTCTTTTCCATGGGTGCCACAGGTCGCCAAACTCACCAAGAAGAGCGAGGCTGGCGAAAATTAGTAGAAGCGCAAACTTTTGCAACGCCATGCTGAAAGCGCAGTGTCGCCTCGTTCGTCGTGCGTCAGTGTCGCTGATTGCGATGAACTCCCAGCGGAGTGCAGCAGAGTCCGCGTGCTTAGCGCCAAGAGGTATTTCGACTGTTACAGGAAAACTATGGCTCGCGCTGCGCTGAAGGCTTGAAGATGGTTGGGTTAGGAGGACGGTATGAAGCAATGGTGCCATGCCGATAAGCAAAGCAGCTGGCTTTGTAGCGAAAGGGGCGGGAAGGGCTTGGGGAAGCGGAGGCGGGCGACGACGACGTGTTACAAAAACTGTACCTCTGCGAAGGGGTATGTGTTTCGTGGTATCGTCGCCAGCGCTTTCGCCGTGGTCGTGGTTAAAGTTAGGTTGTTCGTTGCTGCGCTGGATTCCACGCGTTCAGGCAAGGTACTTTCTATTCGGGGGAATGAAAGGCCAACCAATCACAGTGTCCTTTACAGCCACGTCGGGCGCTATCCTTTGAGGGGCGCCACGCTCGCGCCGCAAATGCAAGGTCACGTTTTGGGACCGCGCAGCCACCAGAGGAGCGTGATTGGACCGCTTACACGTGTGGCAACCTTGCTGGCTTGCAGGTGCATGACAGCAGAGAAATCCCTGCACAACTTGACGGTTCAGATGTCAGATTATTGAAAAGTGTTTTTATTCATGGCATGCTGACGGAGTGGGCGAAACGAAAAAATATCCGTCTCTGTGAACTGTACTGTATTTCCTCCAGGGCATAAAGGGATTTTCGAGGTCAGAGTACTGTAGAATGACATGGGAATGGGATGGGACGTCATGAAGGAAGTCTCCTTCTTCAGAAGCATCCAGCTGGCGAAGTTGCTCGCGAACGAACGCGAGTGTGGTGGGCTTGCGCCAGAAGATGCCTACCACCGACAAAACAGCGGGAGCGTGGGCGGCATGAACATCCTCGTCAATAGGTTTGCCCAGGGCTACCAAACTACACCAAACCTGCTATTGACTTATTATAAAGATGGCATTAGTCACATGCTTATTTACATATGGAAGCTGCCTTGCACAAGCTCTTTTAAGAACCTACTGCTTGTAGCAGCTACCGGGTAGAACAGGTTCGGATCGCGCAAATGCGTTGTCAACAGGGGCGGCGGCAATGCCTCGCTGAACAAGCAAGCAACGGAACATGTGCATCCTATAATGTGGACCATCCCTCATGCTGTCCACATATGCCTTGGGACTCCACAGCCGCTCTGAGAGCACGTGGGGGAGGGCGGGAAGAGGACGATGGGGAGGTGGAAGGGTTGGGGTGGCGGGGAGAGGGGGGAGGGTGGGTTTGTGGAGAGAAGAAAAACGGGAGGAGGTGGGTGGGGAGAAGCAGGGGAAGGGATGATTGGGGGGTGAAGGGGTGATGGTTGGTAGTGTGTGAAGGAGTTCATAACGCATAAGCCCCACACAGCACAAACAGACAGCTTTGGTAACCCCACCTCACCTGCAATGGCAGCAGCACACAGCTTTACTGTTGCCATGAAATTCCCATGAAACCACTTATGGCAATTCACAAAAGTGACTCACAAGTGAGAAACACTGAAAAGCATCTCACCTGCCATGGCACCATCTCACCTGCCATGGCACCATCTCACCTGCCATGGCACCATCTCACCTGCCATGGCAGCATCTCACCTGCCATGGCAGCAGCACGCGGCCACACAGTTGCCATGAGTTGAGAGGGGTCGATCCTCTCACTCCACACACACACCTGCCCTCCACATACTCCTCCCACACAGCACAAATAGACAGTTGTAACGGGCCCATCTCACCTGCCATGGCAGCAGCACGCGGCCACACTGTAGCCATGAGTTGAGAAGGGTCGATCGTCTCACTCCACGCGCACACCTGCCCTCCCACCACCACTCTCTCCGCCAACCCCTCCAGCTCCTCCCATCGCCTCCTCTTCTCCTCTTCCCTTCTCCGCTTCTCCTCTTCCTTTATTGTCTCTCCCTCCTCATCTCCCCTCCCTCCTCCTGTCCACTCCAGGACCCTTCTCCTCACTCCAGCCCCTACGGATGTCTCCCCTCCCTTCCCCTCATACTCCCCCAACCCTCGCTCGCCTTGATCCCCCTCCTGTCCGCTCACAGCCATGTGACTTCTTTCCCCTCTTCCCTGCTCTCCCCCCTGATGCTCCTTCCCTGCTTCTCCTCCCAGTGTCGCTCTCCCTCCCTCCTCTCCCCTCTCCTCCCCCCTTTCACCTCCTTCTCCTCCCAGCTGCTGCACGTTCCCACCACTGCCCGACTCAACTGCACCCTTCACATCCCCATCTCCACCTGCTCTCATATCCCCTTCCCCTCTCGCCTCCACACCCCCCAACTCCTCCACTCCCCCCCTGCCTCGCAGCCGCTCCAGCAGGACTGCAGTGGGTGTCTCTCCCCCTCCCCCTCCCCCTCCCCCTCCCCCTCCCCCTCCCCCTCCCCCTCCCCCTCCCCCTCCCCCTCCCCCTCCCCCTCCCCCTCCCCCTCCCCCTCCCCTCCCTCTCCCTCTCCCCCTCCCCCTCCCCCTCCCACTCCCTCTCCCTTCTCCCTCCCCCTCCCCCTCCCCCTCCCCCTCCCCCTCCCCCTCCCACTCCCCCTCCCCTCCCCCTCCCCCTCCCACTCCCTCTCCCTCTCCCCCCCCCCTCCCCCTCTCCCCTCCCCTCTCCCCTTCCCCCTCCCCCTCCCCCTCCCCCTCCCCTTCCCCCTCCCATTCCCTCTCCCCACCTATCAGGCCACACGCTTCCCAACCCATCCCCACTGTCCCCAACCCCTCCACCTTCCAAGTCCCCGCCCCCCTCCCCTCCCCCCACATTCCAACCCTCTTCCCCACTCCCCACATGCCCACCGCCCTCCCCTCTGCCTGAATCCCAACCCTCCTCCCCGCTCCACTCCCCCCCACTCTCACCATCCCCACCATCCCCACCATCCCCCTCAATCTCCATCCTCTCTCGCTCCAGCTGCAGAACCAGGTCAGCGGGATCCTCTCTATAAGCATGCTCCCAGCGGGACTGTAGCGAGTCCAGGTACCACCCGCCCCCGGCGTTTGTGTGAATGATGCGGAACCCCCACGCTGCCATGTTGGGCAGTTGATCCGTTTTCAGCCTGGAAGGAAGGGGGGGTTCAGAAGCAGGGAGGGGGGAGATGCTGGTAGCGAGTCCAGTCCAGGTACCAACCCCCCCCCAGCGTTCGTGTGAACGATGCAGAAGCCCCATGCTGCCATGTTGGGCAGCTGGTCGGTTCTCAGCCTGGGAAGGGTGGGTGGGGGAGAGTTATAAGAGAGGAAAAAGAGTGCAGGGTTGGGGCAGAAGAGGGGTACCACCACCGCACCCCCAGCATTCGTGTGGACGATGCGGAAGCCCCACGCTGCCATGTTGGGTAGCTGGTCGGTTCTCCGCCTGGTTGAGGCGAGGGGAAAAAAGGGGTTGAGAATCAAGGGTGAGAAGAGGGCAGGGATGGGGCAGACGAGAGGTTTCAACCACCCCTGGCATTTGTGTGGACGATGCGGAAACCCCATGCTGCGATGTTGGGCAAACGGTCCGTGTGCAACCTGGGAGGAAGGGGGGGTTCAGAAGTAGGGAGGGGGGAGATGCTTGTAACGAGTCTAGGTACCACCCACCCCGGCATTCGTATGTATGATGCGGAAACCCCATGCTGCGATGCTGGGCAAACGGTGCGTGTGCAGCCTGGGAGGGGCGGGTGCGTGAGAGTGAGATGAGAGGAAAGAGGTTAAGTGGATTGAGGTGGCAAGTAGCAGTGAGGGAGCAGAGAGGAAGCACAGCAGTGGGACAGAGGGATTGAGGTGCCTTCTAATGTTGAAAAACGACTCCTCCCTGCCAGCATGCCCCCATGCCACCATCCAGACAGAGACGAACAGGGGGATAACAAAAAACGACCAACTGCTGTTTGCCATTTTACCGACATGCGCGCATGCAGAGAGGAGACCGGGGGAGTGTATTCTGAGTTGACTCGGAATGTGGGCAGGGGCGAGCAAGTGGGAGGGGCGAGCAAGTGGGAAGTAGCAGAAACGGGAAGGTGGGGGGATTGAAGGGAGTGGTGTGCGATACATGCCTTCAACACCCATCACGACTCATCACGACTCATCATCACTCAATCATCACCACCCATCACCACCCATCACCACCCCTCAGCTGCCCAGCACTAACCAGAAAACGGTTGTGGTCCATCCCTGCACGCAGTTCACAAAGTATGCAATGGCTGCCTTCACCACCCATCAGCACCCATCAGCACCCATCAGCACCCATCAGCACCCATCAGCACCCATCAGCACCCATCAGCACCCATCAGCACCCATCAGCACCCATCAGCACCCATCAGCACCCATCAGCACCCATCAGCACCCATCAGCACCCATCAGCACCCATCAGCACCCATCAGCACCCATCAGCACCCATCAGCACCCATCAGCACCCATCAGCACCCATCAGCACCCATCAGCACCCATCAGCACCCATCAGCACCCATCAGCACCCATCAGCACTCATCAGCACCTAAGCACCCATCAGCACCCATCAGCACCCATCAGCACCCATCAGCACCCATCAGCACCCATCAGCACCCATCAGCACCCATCAGCACCCATCAGCACCCATCAGCACCCATCAGCACCCATCAGCACCCATCAGCACCCATCAGCACCCATCAGCACCCATCAGCACCCATCAGCACCCATCAGCACCCATCAGCACCCATCAGCACCCATCAGCACCCATCAGCACCCATCAGCACCCATCAGCACCCATCAGCACCCATCAGCACCCATCAGCACCCATCAGCACCCATCAGCACCCATCAGCACCCATCAGCACCCATCAGCACCCATCAGCACCCATCAGCACCCATCAGCACCCATCAGCACCCATCAGCACCCATCAGCACCCATCAGCACCCATCAGCACCCATCAGCACCCATCAGCACCCATCAGCACCCATCAGCACCCATCAGCACCCATCAGCACCCATCAGCACCCATCAGCACCCATCAGCACCCATCAGCACCCATCAGCACCCATCAGCACCCATCAGCACCCATCAGCACCCATCAGCACCCATCAGCACCCATCAGCACCCATCAGCACCCATCAGCACCCATCAGCACCCATCAGCACCCATCAGCACCCATCAGCACCCATCAGCACCCATCAGCACCCATCAGCACCCATCAGCACCCATCAGCACCCATCAGCACCCATCAGCACCCATCAGCACCCATCAGCACCCATCAGCACCCATCAGCACCCATCAGCACCCATCAGCACCCATCAGCACCCATCAGCACCCATCAGCACCCACCACACAACTGTTGTGGTCCATCCCAGCTGGCGTGCAATGGCCTGCACGCGGTTCACAAAGTATGCGATGGCCGCCTTCACAGTCTCCCACACACCCAGCAGGCCAAACCCACCAGACGATAGTTGTGGTCCATCCCAGCTGGCGTGCAATGGCCTGCACGCGGTTCACAAAGTAGGCAATGGCCGCCTTCACTGTCCTCCTGTGCTCCTTTCGCCTGCACTTCCGGGCAATCAGAGGAAGGCGAAAAAGGAAAGGTTAAATGAGTGGGGAGAGGAGAGGAGAGGAGGGAGAGGAGAGGAGAGGAGAGGAGAGAGAGGAGAGAGGAAAGGAAAGGAGAGGAAAGGAAAGGAGAGGAGAGGGGCAGGGCTGTATGGGGCAGGGCACTCACCACTTGTAGATATGAGGAACAGTTGTCCAGCACTCTGCATAGTGAACACGAATACGTGGGGGAGAGGAGAGGGCAGTGGGGGAGAGGGCACGTGGGGGGGAGAGAGAATTGAGAAAATAATCAACCCAAATACAGTCACACTCGCTTCTCTCAATCAATACAGAAGTCCACCTTACATCTACCTCCTCCCACACCATTCACCTCCTCTCAAACCCCTCCCCTCCTCTCAAACCCCTCACCTCCTCTCAAACCCCTCACCTCCTCTCAAACCCCTCACCCCTCCTCTCAAACCCCTCCCCTCCTCTCAAACCCCTCACCTCCTCTCAAACCCCTCACCTCCTCTCAAACCCCTCACCTCCTCTCAAACCCCTCCCCTCCTCTCAAACCCCTCACCTCCTCTCAAACCCCTCACCTCCTCTCAAACCCCTCACCTCCTCTCAAACCCTCACCTCCTCTCAAACCCCTCACCTCCTCTCAAACCCCTCACCTCCTCTCAAACCCCTCACCTCCTCCCAAACCCTCACCTCCTCCCAAACCCCTCACCTCCTCTCAAACCCCCTCACCTCCTCTCAAACCCCTCACCTCGTCTCACCTGCATTCACTTCGTCCCCTCCAATGTGGATTGTCGGCCCTGGAAAGACGGACCGGAGGTCTGCACCCCACACAACCGAATGCACACACAAAGACAAGTGAAAGGTGAGGCACGAGGCATGAGGAATCATGGGGCATGAGGAATTATGGGGCATGAGGAATCATGGGGCATGAGGAATTATGGGGCATGAGGAATCATGGGGCATGAGGAATTATGGGGCATGAGGAATGGGGCATGGGGCATGGGGCATGGGGCATGGGGCATGGGGCATGGGGCATGGGGCATGGGGCATGAGGAATTATGGGGCATGAGGAATGGGGCATGGGGCATGGGGCATGGGGCATGGGGCATGATGCAACAGCAAAGCAAGAAGTGCAGTTGCACCACCCACCAGCCAGCACTGCACACCTCCTGCTTGCACCGCGCATCATCTGTCAGCACCGCGCATCATCTGTCAGCACCGCGCATCACCTGTCAGAACGCCCTGTATGACTCGGAAGGTGAACTCCTTGGAGACGTCGAGAGGCTCGGAGCAGTTGAGGGCCGGAAGGAGCAAAGGATAGCCCACTCCCCTACGATGAGTGAATGCAGGGGCATGGCATGGCATGGGAACGCATGAGGTGAAAGCAAGTGAACGCATGAGGGGTGAGACATTCATAGCAACGGAAGGTGAACTCATTGGAAACATCGAGAGGCTAGGAGCAGTTGAAGGCGGGAGCAACGAAGGATAGCCCACTCCCCTGTGGTGAAACCCACAGGAATGCCACATAGAAACACATGAGGTGAATGTAAGTGCGATACACCCTGCTCACCATGCCTTGGAGTGTGATGGGAGATCGATTTCAGGAATGACAACAATCCCGCGTGCTGCAGCATAGCTGGAATGTGGTGGAAAGGGGTGGAGAGCGGTGGAGAGGGATGGAAACACAGACAGAGGGGGTAATGAAGGGTAACAGAAACAGAAGCAATGGAGGAACAGCAGCGAGGCCGAGCTGTTGTAGCGGAGTTTTGGAAAAAAAGGGGGGGAATTCTAACGACGGGCCACACTCATCCTTCCAGAGGCGCTGCAAGGAGGGCGTCTCGAAGGGGAACGCACCTCAAAGCAAATCCCGTCTGAACCTCCTGAATTCAACAACATGCCACATGCCAGTGCTCATCGCATGCCTGATGCCTCCCAGTCCACTCACCCCACAACGTGCCGCATGTCTGCGAGCGAGTAGCGCTCGTGGGGGGAGTGGGCAGCCTTCCAGACTCTGTTCAGAGACACCTAGCTTCAACAACATGCCACATGCCAGGGCTCACCGCACGACGTGCCGCATGTCTGTGAGGGAGTAGCGCTCGTGGGGGAGTGGGCAGCCTTCCAGAGGCGCGGGAAGGAGGGCGTCTCGATTGGGAAGGCCTCTGCGTCCACTAGATGCCAGTGACTGGTGGGGGAGAGAGAGGGGGATAAGAAGGGAGAAGGAGAGGGGAGAAGCAGGCATTAGGGGGGGCGGAGGGCGTTTCAATGGGGAAGGCCTCTGCGTCCACTAGATGCCAGTGACTGGTGGGGTAGAGAGAGGGGGGAAGAAGGGAGAAGGAGAGGGGAGAAGCAGGCATTAAGGGGGGGCGGAGGGCGTTTCAATGGGGAAGGCCTCTGCGTCCACTACATGCCAGTGGCTGGTGGGGGAAAGAGGGAAAAGGGAGGTGCGGGAAGGGGGAGTGAAAGGGCGGAAGCGCAAGTGGAGTCTCGATGGGAAGGCCTCTGAGTCCAATAGATGCCAGTGGCTGGGGGGATTGGAGGGGGTGTGGATGGGGGAAATGGGGAGGGGGGAGGAAAGAATGGAAGTGACATGAAGAGGGGAAGGAGGGCGTCTCGATGCGGAAGGTTTCTGCGTCCACTAGATGCCAGTGACTGGGGGGGGAGGAGGAAGGGTTGTGGAGGGGGAAAAGGGAGAGAAGGGGAGAAAGAATGGGGGGGCAAAGGAGGGCGTCTTGATGGGAAATGGGTTGCTCGTGGACCAAGAGCGCACTCGTGGACCAAGGAGCGCACTCGTGGACCAAGGAGCGCACTCATGGACCAAGGAGCGCACTCGTGGACCATGGCGCGCACTCGTGGACCAAGGCGCGCACTCGTGGACCAAGGAGCGCACTCGTGGACCAAGGAGCGCACTCGTGGACCAAGGAGCGCACTCGTGGACCAAGGAGCGCACTCGTGGACCAAGGAGCGCACTCGTGGACCAAGGAGCGCGCTCGTGGACCAAGGAGCGCACTCGTGGACCAAGGAGCGCACTCGTGGACCAAGGAGCGCACTCGTGGACCAAGGAGCGCACTCGTGGACCAAGGAGCGCACTCGTGGACCAAGGAGCGCGCTCGTGGACCAAGGAGCGCGCTCGTGGACCAAGGAGCGCGCTCGTGGACCAAGGAGCGCGCTCGTGGACCAAGGAGCGCACTCGTGGACCAAGGAGCGCACTCGTGGACCAAGGAGCGCACTCGTGGACCAAGGAGCGCGCTCGTGGACCAAGGAGCGCGCTCGTGGACCAAGGAGCGCGCTCGTGGACCAAGGAGCGCGCTCGTGGACCAAGGAGCGCGCTCGTGGACCAAGGAGCGCGCTCGTGGACCAAGGAGCGCGCTCGTGGACCAAGGAGCGCGCTCGTGGACCAAGGAGCGCGCTCGTGGACCAAGGAGCGCTCTCGTGGACCAAGGAGCGCTCTCGTGGACCAAGGAGCGCACTCGTGGACCAAGGAGCGCACTCGTGGACCAAGGAGCGCACTCGTGGACCAAGGAGCGCTCTCGTGGACCAAGAAGCGCTCTCGTGGACCAAGGAGCGCACTCGTGGACCAAGGAGCGCACTCGTGGACCAAGGAGCGCGCTCGTGGACCAAGGAGCGCGCTCGTGGACCAAGGAGCGCACTCGTGGACCAAGGAGCGCGCTCGTGGACCAAGGAGCGCGCTCGTGGACCAAGGAGCGCCCTCGTGGACCAAGGAGCGCCCTCGTGGACCAAGGAGCGCGCTCGTGGACCAAGGAGCGCGCTCGTGGACCAAGGAGCGCGCTCGTGGACCAAGGAGCACGCTCGTGGGACCAAGGAGCGCCCTCGTGGACCAAGGAGCGCTCTCGTGGACCCAAGGAGCGCGCTCGTGGACCAAGGCGCGCTCGTGGACCAAGGCGCGCTCGTGGACCAAGGCGCGCACTCGTGGACCAAGGAGCGCACTCGTGACCAAGGCGCGCACTCGTGGACCAAGGCGCGCACTCGTGGACCAAGGCGCGCACTCGTGGACCAAGGAGCGCACTCGTGGACCAAGGAGCGCACTCGTGGACCAAGGCGCGCACTCGTGGACCAAGGAGCGCTCTCGTGGACCAAGGAGCGCTCTCGTGGACCAAGGAGCGCACTCGTGGACCAAGGAGCGCACTCGTGGACCAAGGAGCGCACTCGTGGACCAAGAAGCGCTCTCGTGGACCAAGGAGCGCACTCGTGGACCAAGGAGCGCACTCGTGGACCAAGGAGCGCGCTCGTGGACCAAGGAGCGCGCTCGTGGACCAAGGAGCGCACTCGTGGACCAAGGAGCGCGCTCGTGGACCAAGGAGCGCGCTCGTGGACCAAGGAGCGCCCTCGTGGACCAAGGAGCGCCCTCGTGGACCAAGGAGCGCGCTCGTGGACCAAGGAGCGCGCTCGTGGACCAAGGAGCGCGCTCGTGGACCAAGGAGCACGCTCGTGGACCAAGGAGCGCCCTCGTGGACCAAGGAGCGCCCTCGTGGACCAAGGCGCGCTCGTGGACCAAGGCGCGCTCGTGGACCAAGGCGCGCTCGTGGACCAAGGCGCGCACTCGTGGACCAAGGAGCGCACTCGTGGACCAAGGCGCGCACTCGTGGACCAAGGCGCGCACTCGTGGACCAAGGCGCGCACTCGTGGACCAAGGAGCGCACTCGTGGACCAGGAGCGCACTCGTGGACCAAGGCGCGCACTCGTGGACCAAGGAGCGCACTCGTGGACCAAGGCGCGCACTCGTGGACCAAGGCGCGCACTCGTGGACCAAGGAGCGCACTCGTGGACCAAGGCGCGCACTCGTGGACCAAGGCGCGCACTCGTGGACCAAGGCGCGCACTCGTGGACCAAGGCGCGCACTCGTGGACCAAGGAGCGCACTCGTGGACCAAGGAGCGCACTCGTGGACCAAGGAGCGCACTCGTGGACCAAGGAGCGCACTCGTGGACCAAGGAGCGCGCTCGTGGACCAAGGAGCGCCCTCGTGGACCAAGGAGCGCGCTCGTGGACCAGGAGCGCGCTCGTGGACCAAGGAGCGCGCTCGTGGACCAAGGAGCGCCCTCGTGGACCAAGGCGCGCACTCGTGGACCAAGGCGCGCACTCGTGGACCAAGGAGCGCACTCGTGGACCAAGGCGCGCACTCGTGGACCAAGGCGCGCACTCGTGGACCAAGGAGCGCTCTCGTGGACCAAGGAGCGCACTCGTGGACCAAGGAGCGCACTCGTGGACCAAGGAGCGCACTCGTGGACCAAGGCGCGCACTCGTGGACCAAGGAGCGCACTCGTGGACCAGGAGCGCACTCGTGGACCAAGGCGCGCACTCGTGGACCAAGGAGCGCACTCGTGGACCAAGGCGCGCACTCGTGGACCAAGGCGCGCACTCGTGGACCAAGGAGCGCACTCGTGGACCAAGGAGCGCACTCGTGGACCAAGGAGCGCACTCGTGGACCAAGGAGCGCACTCGTGGACCAAGGCGCGCACTCGTGGACCAAGGAGCGCACTCGTGGACCAAGGAGCGCACTCGTGGACCAAGGAGCGCACTCGTGGACCAAGGCGCGCACTCGTGGACCAAGGAGCGCACTCGTGGACCAAGGCGCGCACTCGTGGACCAAGGAGCGCACTCGTGGACCAAGGAGCGCACTCGTGGACCAAGGCGCGCACTCGTGGACCAAGGCGCGCACTCGTGGACCAAGGCGCGCACTCGTGGACCAAGGCGCGCACTCATGGACCAAGGAGCGCACTCGTGGACCAAGGCGCGCACTCGTGGACCAAGGAGCGCACTCATGGACCAAGGAGCGCACTCGTGGACCAAGGCGCGCACTCGTGGACCAAGGAGCGCACTCGTGGACCAAGGCGCGCACTCGTGGACCAAGGAGCGCACTCGTGGACCAAGGCGCGCACTCTTGGACCAAGGCGCGCACTCGTGGACCAAGGAGCGCACTCGTGGACCAAGGAGCGCGCTCGTGGACCAAGGAGCGCCCTCGTGGACCAAGGAGCGCGCTCGTGGACCAAGGAGCGCGCTCGTGGACCAAGGAGCGCGCTCGTGGACCAAGGAGCGCCCTCGTGGACCAAGGCGCGCACTCGTGGACCAAGGCGCGCACTCGTGGACCAAGGAGCGCACTCGTGGACCAAGGCGCGCACTCGTGGACCAAGGCGCGCACTCGTGGACCAAGGAGCGCTCTCGTGGACCAAGGAGCGCACTCGTGGACCAAGGAGCGCACTCGTGGACCAAGGAGCGCACTCGTGGACCAAGGCGCGCACTCGTGGACCAAGGAGCGCACTCGTGGACCAAGGAGCGCACTCGTGGACCAAGGCGCGCACTCGTGGACCAAGGAGCGCACTCGTGGACCAAGGCGCGCACTCGTGGACCAAGGCGCGCACTCGTGGACCAAGGAGCGCACTCGTGGACCAAGGAGCGCACTCGTGGACCAAGGAGCGCACTCGTGGACCAAGGAGCGCACTCGTGGACCAAGGCGCGCACTCGTGGACCAAGGAGCGCACTCGTGGACCAAGGAGCGCACTCGTGGACCAAGGAGCGCACTCGTGGACCAAGGCGCGCACTCGTGGACCAAGGAGCGCACTCGTGGACCAAGGCGCGCACTCGTGGACCAAGGAGCGCACTCGTGGACCAAGGAGCGCACTCGTGGACCAAGGCGCGCACTCGTGGACCAAGGCGCGCACTCGTGGACCAAGGCGCGCACTCGTGGACCAAGGCGCGCACTCATGGACCAAGGAGCGCACTCGTGGACCAAGGCGCGCACTCGTGGACCAAGGAGCGCACTCATGGACCAAGGAGCGCACTCCTGGACCAAGGCGCGCACTCGTGGACCAAGGAGCGCACTCGTGGACCAAGGCGCGCACTCGTGGACCAAGGAGCGCACTCGTGGACCAAGGCGCGCACTCTTGGACCAAGGCGCGCACTCGTGGACCAAGGAGCGCACTCTTGGACCAAGGCGCGGGGGTAGGAGGTTGGAGGGGGTAGGAGGTTGGAGGGGGTAGGAGGTTGGAGGGGGTAGGAGGTTGGAGGGGGAGGAGGTTGGAGGGGGTAGGAGGTTGGGGGGGTAGGAGGTTGAGGGGGTAGGAGGTTGGGGGGTAGGAGGTTGGAGGGGGTAGGAGGTTGGAGGGGGTAGGAGGTTGGAGGGGGTAGGAGGTTGGAGGGGTAGGAGGTTGGAGGGGGTAGGAGGTTGGAGGGGGTAGGAGGTTGGAGGGGGTAGGAGGTTGGAGGGGTTAGGAGGTTGGAGGGGTAGGGGTTGGAGGGGGTAGGGGGGGGGTTGGAGGGGGTAGGAGGTCGGAGGGGGATGGACGAGAGTGGGGGAGTTTTTGCAAGGTGAGCCAAATGCATGCATGTGTGTGTGCATGTTCGTGCATCTGTATGCATGTGTATGGGTGCATACACAGGGTATTTTGTGTAAATGGGTGAATGTATAGACTTACAGCACATTGAGTTTGGCGTACGACATCGAGTCCAAGAGTCGTTCTATAAAGGGGACGGGTTGGAAGTGCCTTGCCGTGTCTGCAGCAAGACAGAGAGAACAGAGGGAAGTGGAATAGGGGGGGGGGGTGAGTGAGAGAGTAAGGCAAAAACAAGGGGAGAAAGGTGTAAGGGGAGTGAGAAAGAGAGGTGAGTGAGGGAGTTGAGTAACGCGGGTGAGTGAGGGAGGCATGAATTCCAGATTGACTTGCGCCGAGTGCAACGATGTTCAACAAGTGAGTGAGGGAGGCATGAACACCATTTTGCTCTCCCAGAAACACCGCATTCCCACCCAGCACCACCGCTCTCCCACCCAGCAGCACCGCTTTCCCACCCATCACCACCGCTCTCTCACCCAGCAGCACCCCTCGGTGGGGGAAGCGGGGGCGGTCGTGGATGGTGAGAGGCATGCCCTGCAGCAGAGCCAGGCGGGAAGCAGGGTCCCAACGGACCAGCTGACTTAGTGTCTGGGAGGGTTGGGAAATGGGGGAAGGGAGGGTGGTGAATGGGGGAGGTGGGGGGGGGGCGGTGATCGTGGATGGTGAGAGGCACTCCCTGCAGCAGCGCCAGGCGGGAAGCGGGGGGTCCCACCGCATAGCTGACTCAACGTCTGGCATGTGGGGAGGGGGAGAGAGGTGGGGAGGGGAGAGGGGAGGGGGAGGGGGAGGGGGAGGGTGAGGGGTAGCGGGAGGAAGAGAAGGGAGTGGGAAGGGAGGGGGAGGGGGTGGTAAGTAGCACGCCCTGCAGCAGAGCCAGGCACAACGGGCGGCACAATGTGGGCGGCACAATATGGGCGGCACAATGTGGGCGGCACAATGTGGGCGGCACAATATGGGCGGCACAATGTGGGCGGCACAATGTGGGCGGCACAATGTGGGCGGCACAATGTGGGCGGCACAATGTGGGCGGCACAATTGGGCACAATGTGGGCGGCACAATGTGAGCGGCACAATGTGGGCGGCACAATGTGGGCGGCAAGCAGGGGCAAGCGACAAAGAGAGGGGGCAAGCGACAAAGAGAGGGGCAAGCAACAAAGAGAGGGGGCAAGCGACAAAGAGAGGGGGCAAGCGACAAAGAGAGGGGGCAAGCGACAAAGAGAGGGGGCAAGCGACAAAGAGAGGGGGCAAGCAACAAAGAGAGGGGGCAAGCGACAAAGAGAGGGGGCAAGCGACAAAGAGAGGGGGCAAGCGACAAAGAGAGGGGGCAAGCGACAAAGAGAGGGGGCAAGCAACAAAGAGAGGGGGCAAGCAACAAAGAGCATACCTGCAGTGCTCTGAGTGCGCCCACTGTTGTGTTGGCCTGGCGGAGCAATGGGGGGAGGGGTGGACGCAGGGAGGAGGAGGGGGAAGAGGCACGGAAAGAGAGGGTGGAGAGGGGAGAGGGTTGGTGACGAGACACGGTGGCATGCGAGGGGTGCGTGCAACAACATGGAAAAACCACACCACCCGTGCACCGCAACCCACCCCCCTGCACCGCAACCCACCCCCTGCACCGCAACCCACCCCCCTGCACAGCAACCCACCCCCCTGCACAGCAACCCACCCCCCTGCACAGCAACCCACCCCCCTGCACAGCAACCCACCCCCCTGCACCGCAACCCACCCCCTGCACCGCAACCCACCCCCCTGCACAGCAACCCACCCCCTGCACAGCAACCCACCCCCCTGCACAGCAACCCACCCCCCTGCACAGCAACCCACCCCCCTGCACCGCAACCCACCCCCCTGCACAGCAACCCACCCCCCTGCACAGCAACCCACCCCCCTGCACAGCAACCCACCCCCTGCACCGCAACCCACCCCCTGCACCGCAACCCACCCCCCTGCACAGCAACCCACCCCCCTGCACAGCAACCCACCCCCTGCACCGCAACCCACCCCCTGCACAGCAACCCACCCCCCTGCACCGCAACCCACCCCCCTGCACAGCAACCCACCCCCCTGCACAGCAACCCACCCCCCTGCACAGCAACCCACCCCCCTGCACAGCAACCCACCCCCCTGCACCGCAACCCACCCCCCTGCACCGCAACCCACCCCCCTGCACAGCAACCCACCCCCTGCACAGCAACCCACCCCCTGCACCGCAACCCACCCCCCTGCCACAGCAACCCACCCCCCTGCACCGCAACCCATCCCCCTGCACCGCGCCCAGCACCCCTGCTAAAAAAGCAGCACCGCTCACATCGATTCTAATCATTGCTGACGACGAATGGTCCTGTGCAGCAGTGAACCCAACAGTGAGCACGTAGCTCTCGTCTGGCCCCACCTCCAGCTGGCCGGGAGAATGGGGGAAGGGGGAAGAGGGGGTGGTTGGGTGGGTGGGGCTGTCGATTGCTGACAACGAATGGGCGGATGCATGCATCATCACCGCTCTCCACCCCTCTGTACCTCTTCCTCTGGCCGAGACACAGCAATGAGTAGGGACTCCACTAGGAGCACCGCCCCCACTGACTTGCTCCCTGCTGCTGCTGCTGCTGTTGCTGCTGCCGCTGCTGCTGCTGCTCTTTCTAATGCTGCTGCTGCTGTCATTGAACATGCTCCTCCCACTGCTCTCCTTCCCATGCTCTCTCCACGGCCGCCCCTGCCAACCAGTGACCAGCTGCCACGTGGACAGCACCACCTGCCTCAACCACCACGAAACAGGCCCATGGCCCAGCCGTCCAACCAGCTTGCGACACCTGGCAAGCAACGATTGCCCTTGCCCTCCCTTTCCATCTTCCGCTCCACCTCCCACTGCCCCAGCCCCTGCCCCTCCCCTTCCCCTTCCCCCTCCTCCCCCGCCCCCTCCCCCTAGTGCAGTCTGGATGGTGGACAGGGAGCGGTAGGGGGCGAGGAAGGAGGAGAGGAAGCGGTGGAAGGCGGCACACAGCACAGCACGGCCTGATTCATGCTGTGATGAACGCCTTGCTTCCTGCCCTGCTGCTTCCCGTGATGCCTCCTTTGATGCCATCTGTGCTGCATCTTGCTCCCATGCACGTGAAGAACCATGATATTCACCACCCGCCTCACTACCCTCCTCGTTGCCCCACTCCCAGCCCCCCTCCTCTTCCTCCCGCTCTTCCCCCATCCCTCCCTTCCTCCCCCCCAGCACCAGAGAGAGCCGCAGCAGCGGGCTGACAGCTGCCTCGTGACGCCCCACGGCTGCTATCAGTGCCGGCATGGGCCACACCAGGAGGCCCACCCGCCGCTTCAACGCCTCCTCACTCACCTCCTCTGCTTTCTTGCTTATTCCCTCTCCGCCTCTCACGGCCCCTCCTGTTCTCGTTCCCTCTGTTTCTTCACTCCCTCCCTCACTCACTCCCTCACTCACACCCACTGTTCTTCCCCTGCCTTCATCAGCCCTTTCTCCCCTTCCGTCCTTCCCATCCCCTTCTCCCCCACCAACCGCCTCCCCACTTCCCTCCTCGTCCAAACCCCGCAACACCCGTCCCCTTCTGCCCCTTTCACCTTCTCTATCCCTCTCCCTCTCCTTCTTCCCCTCCCTCTCTCCCTTCATCTCCCTCCTTCCTTCCCATGTCTCCTCCCTCCTCCCACCCTGCCCCGCCCCTCTCCACTCCCTGCCACCGAGACTCTTTTTCCTCCCCAATATTACCCCCAACGCCCCCATATCTGACCGCACCCATCTGGGATTCACCTTCATGTGCTGCCCTCTGCCCCTGTTAGCATCTGATATAACCGCCTCTCCTCCCATCGCCTCCTCACCCTCCCCTTCCCCTTCCACCTCCTCACCCCTCCCTCCACCCTTCATCTCCGCAACCCCCTTTCCAATCGTTCTCACCCCTTCCCTCCCTCCGCTCTTCTCCCCTTGACCATCCCCATCCCCATCCCCATCCCCATCCTCATTACTGACTGCATCGTTAGCATGCACAAGCCCATCAATCAACACTTTACCACCAGCATAAATATCCAAGCTCGGAACAGGGGCAGCACCAAACTGTTCGCTATTAACAGGTCCTGTATAAATACGCTCTTGCTCCTCATCCTCCCCCTCCCCCCTCTCCTTCCACCTCTCCCCCACCCCATTTTCCCTCTCATTTGCGCTCTCTCTCTCTCCTCCCCCCTCGCCTTCTCCGCATCCCCCCTGTCCGTCTCCTCCCCCATCGCCCCCTCACCCCGCATCGTCACCACCAGCGGTGCCAGCGACACACGTGCATCATCCTTGCCCCTCTCTTTCGCCTCCTCCCTCTCCCTCTCCTTTCCGCTCTCCATCTCCTTCTCTCCCGCCCCCTCACCCCGCATCGTCACCACCAGCGGTGCCAGCGACACACGTGCATCGTCCTTGTCCCTCTCCTTCGCCTCCTCCCACTCCGCCTGCTCCTCCCACTTCTCCCGCTGCGTCACCATCACTGCCCAGTTCGGTAACCCAGCCAACCCTTCCCGTGAACCCATGCGAGGCGCATTGGGAAAGGGCACTTCTGCAGTTTCCCCTGATTGAGGCGGCTTGGAAAAGGGCACATCTGCAGTATCCTCTGACTGAGGCGGCTTGGAAAAGGGCACATCTGTGGTTTCCCCTAATTTAGGCGGCTTCAAAAAGGGCACATCTGCGGTATCCCCTAGTTGAGGCGGCTTGGAAAAAGGCACATCTTCAGCTTCCCCTAGACGAGGCGCCTCAGATAAGAGCACATTCGATGCACCCGGTGCTGCTGCTTCAAGCGAGTTGCCTGCAGCAGCGTTAGTAGGGTTGGCAGATGAATGGCTAGGATGGACGAGAGGGAATGAAGCAGCCACGGGTAAAGGTTTGGATGTTGCTGACGTGGCGAATATACTTTGGGTATTTCCCCCCACCCGACTCACAGCAAACCCATCATCATCTGACCTCCCTTGTGCCTCCTCCCCCTCCCCTCCCTCCCCACTCTCCCCTCCCGAGATCCCATCTCCCTCCTCTCCCTCCTCATCCTCCCCTTCCTCCTCCTCCTCCTCCTCCTCCCCCTCCTCCTCCTCCTCCTCCTCCTCCTCCTCTCCCCATCGTCATCGTAATCGTCCCCCTCCTCCTCCTCTCCCTCCTCCGCTCCCTCCTTCGCTTCTCCCTCCTCCCCTTCTTCCTCCACCTCTCCCTCCTCCTCTTTTCTCACAACTACACTCCCATCACTACCTAAACTGCCTGGTACAATGCTATCTGCTGACTCATCCCTGTGATCTTCTGACTCATATCTGTAATCTGCTGAGTCATCACCTTGATTTGCTGACTCATCACCATTCCCATCACTTGCTCCTGGTAAGTCAAAAATATCCTCACTCGTACTCTCCCCATCATTCCCTCCAGTCGGCATATCCTGTAATTTTCCCTCTCTCTCTTCCCTCACCCACTGCTCCTCCTCCATTCTCCACTCCTCCCCACTCTCTTCCGCTTCCCCCTTTTCCGGCCAACTCCACTCCCCCCGCGCCCACCACGGCCCATTCTCCGCCCGCTCCGCGGAGAGTGCATCAACGCGCGCGCGCCACTCCACATACAACAGTTCTCGCCGAAAATTCCGCCGCCCTTCGCGGCTGCCCCCCTCCTTCCGATCGCGTGGCGCGAGGCCAGGATTCACCGCGTATCCCGCGGATCCGCGCAGCCCGTCCGCGGATGTCTCAGCTTCCTCCCATGGGGCTTGTTCCGCGCTGTCTATGTAACCCCGCGTAATATGAGAAGGGGCGGAGCTCTGCGCGTTACTAGCGCGATACCGCAACCGTATGTCAAGCGCGGAGTGCGGAGAGAAGCGCAGGAGCGCTACAAGACCGAATAAGGCGGAGGAAAAGAGCAACAGGCGGCGGGGAGTCGACGAGAATGCGGAAGTCGCTGCCCCAGGCCCGCGGAATCGGCGGGAGGCGGCATCCGCACCTCTGTGAAATCTGTGGATGTGCATTCTTATAATCACATTCGCTATGGGTGAGATATTGGGACAAGGAAACCACTTAGTTTAATAAGTTACTCAGGCGCTGCAACCGTTTCAGAATGGCCGAGATGGTCTAAGCTGCCAGTACCCAAGAACATTGTATATAGTCTGGTCGAAGGCGCCAGTTTCAGGTACTGGTCCGAAAGGGCATGGGCGCGAATCGCATTTCTGACAGCGTTTTTTTCCCTCGCTTTTTGAGTTCTGATACAACCCTAAAATTGTGTGAACATCTTGCATGTTTCGCTGATAATCCATTTTGCATATACTGTTTGTATCATCCAGGTGTTGCGGAACTCTCGGTATCGAGTACGTGGGAGCCACAAACAGACCCAACACGTGGAGCTTCTACTGAATATCGATCACCCTGAGTGCGACAATTGGAAGATTCGAGTATCCCAGCAAGCGGGAGCCATTCTCGAGCGCAGATATTTTTCCAGGAAAATATCTCAGTCTGCCGAACGGTCGCGATTCTCCGCGATGGATCCAGGCGACGGCGAACCGACAAGGCAGCCACTTAGGGAGCTTCGCGAACTTGTCCTGGCAAAAGGTCAACGAAGTTCTTCGCTGGTAATCCCGTCGCGGAAACTCGTCTATCACGACGATATTTTGGTTACATGACTCTCATTGGTGCACGAACTTGTCAACAGCCATCTCCGACACCCAACAATAGAACCTTCAAGAAGCTAAGGATCCGATGCTGTCATGCCAATAACCAAGCAAATAGCCATGGCTGCTCCGTCACCTCCCCGTAATCTGACTGGAAACGAGCTGGCTGGGTAGGAAGCTCCAGCCCAGCGGTGACGGGAGTGCATCCGCCATGGCTTCCAGACCCGTCCCAAGTTGCCATGCCACGTCCTCCTCGTTCGATGTGTTTTTGCAGTTTGACTGCCTTCTAGTTGATTCCTTGAACATTCAGCTGCGCACCGAGTGGTTACTAATTGCTGTTCGTCAACGCATTACTGGATTAAACTAGCTTGGTAGTGCCTATTTTCGTGTCTGAGGAAGATTTTTTTCAGCAGCCATAAATATCACATGTCCATGCCTTGATACTCTTCCGTCAACTTGCAAGCAAGTAGCCGTTTCCTGTCCCCCCTTCATGAGCCTAGCGGCATTTACGCCAACTTTATCATAGCGGTATCAAGCGCTCCTTAGCTGCTTTCTCCAGCGTCCCATCGCTGAATCCGTCGCTGCATAACTCACATATCTTACTGCTCGCAACTTTAGGCTCTCAGCTAGCCAATATGGGTTGCGTTCGCACGATGAAACTCCGGAAGCCCCACCGCTCTGAACCGTACGATGTTCATTCAGGCTCGGGTTCTGCTTTCCACCCAAGCTTCGAACAATCACTACCTTTCTTCTCCTCCAGCGATCCAGTTTTCGTCAACATTGATTGGGAGATTCTCGAGAGCGACGGTTCCGGTTTATCTTGTCCGATGTGGATCGTGACGGATACCGCCGACGCCTATGTCTTTTCCGTCGAGCAACGCGGTCTTCCTCTGCAGCACGTGCAGGTTTTGCTGGATCGAAGCGCGAGCCAGGGATCTGACGATGCTCAGAGTGATCGTAACAAATACTACCAGCAGCAGAATGACAGATTACGCGCTTCGGCGAATCACGGGTCTGCGCTGCTCACCATCGTCTGCAAGTTCCATTCCGCTCCGTCGGACGGAGACGTTTTCCGTCAGCGTCTGCTTCAGAACCCGCACCAGCAGCAGTTCACGGTGACGGGTTCCGTCCAGACGACTGGCCGGCGGTTCAAACTGCCAGCGGATGCCATCGCGGAGAGCACGACGGCCGTTCACACGGAGGCGGGATCAGTGGTGGTGAACGTCCCTCGTTCTCCCCCGAAGCGACCCTGCTCGTCGCCGTCGCGGTTTTCCTCCTCTCCCTGCCAACTTGCTGAAACGCAGCCGTCTTTGAGATTCGGCCGGTGGAGTGTGGACGTTGCGTCAACGGCTTCGTCCTTATCGCCACCGTCACCGTCAGCTTCTGTGTCACAGTCACAGTCTCTATCATCCTCCTCTTTCTCCTCCTCCTTCTCCCCTTTCTCCGCTTCCTCGCTATCCCCATCACCATCCTTCTCATCTTCATCCATTTCTTCATCCTGGCCTTCCCTCAGACCCTCTCAGCCTCCCGGTGCATTCGCTCCTGATCTGGTCCCAGATACTATGAGGGTAGCATGCAATGCAACGCCGGTATGTTGTAGCAGAAAAGCGAATTCCGTTTGGCCATTCACACAGCAGCATGATAATCAGTGCTGCGATTCTTGTACAGATGATTGGGAAGGTTTTGCTGGTGAGCCAGCTGCTGATGCCATGCAAGTTTCCTAGGTGGGGGTCAGGCGTATAAGCTCGCCTGAAGCTTGTAGTGCTGTTCTGCATATTGCTGTATATGTCAGAATTAGTTAAATTCGTTTGGTTAGTTTCATGCGCTCATTGCGGGGTTGGGTGGGTTGAATGCTTGTCTGGCAACCAATTATTGGTATCAGAATGTAGATTTTGCAACTCAATAATAGCATGCTTGTACATGCGGCTCCCCTAGCTTCCCCTCTACCACTCGCAGAGAAAGTACCAGTAACTCCAATCTGCAACACCATTACAGCCCGCACTTTTTATTTTGCCGCAGCATTCTCAATTGCTGCTATGCACTCTTCAACAGGGGCATCTCTTGCCATGGCTTCCATGAGAGCATCAAAGGACTTCGAGTTATTCTTGATTAGCGAAGCCGCGTAGAGCACCTGGAGATGGATGGGTATGAAACGTACAATTGAACTGAAGACTTCACAACACACACAGCAAGATGTTCCACACTAGTACGTACTTAAGAGAGACACAAGACTGCAACTATCAACTCTTGATCAGGTTTAGTGCAAGGCAGCACGCTTCTGTACTCTCTCTTCGTTCACAGCACCAAGCCCTCGCCACCGAGCCAGATGGATGTATGAATACGGCAGCAGAAACGACGCATCATCAGGGTCTGACATACCGCCCAGCGAGTGAGGTTCTGCTGTCTCTCGGGAGTCAAGGCGCCGAGCCCTTGCTACTCTGCAGGAGGGAGTATGGACACGGTACCTGAAACCATCAGTTATCAAGCATGACCCAAGGATGACTCACCGCCCAGCGTGTGAGGTTCTGCTGTCGCTCAGGGGTCAAGGCGCCGAGCCCGCTGCGGTTGATGAGGCGCTGCAGCGAGTTGAGGTCTGCTGTCTGCCCCATCACCTGCTCGTACTGCAACCCCTCCGCTGCCATGCCTGCCATCGCCACCACTGCGAGTCTGCAAAAGTGGGGGGGTGTATAATGAACAAGAAGGGTCAGAAAAGGAAATTGGAGTTTTGCCGTCTGCCCCATCAACTGCTCGTACCGCAGCCCCTCTGCTGCCATGCCCGCCATCGCCACCACTGCGAGTCTGCAGGGTGTAATGTGGGTCAGGGGGGGGTTGACACGGTGTGTAGTGTGCCAGAGGGGGTTGGGGAGTAAAATGAAGGCCCACTGTCCTCTCATCACCTGTTCTTACTGCAGCCCTCCCGCTGTCATCCCTGCCATTGCCACCACCTCGAGTCTGCAGGTGTGAGAGGGGGGTTTGACAGTCAAGGGGGGTGGGAGGGGAGAGCTGATGCCCAAATCCCCCCTGACCGTTCGTGTTTTACTGCAGCCCCTTTGCTGCCATGCCTGCCATCGCCACCACCTGTCCACGTCATCATTCTCCAGCTTGCCACTGGGAATCCTCTTCTGCGGCATATACTATTAAGATCCACTTTCTCACTACTGATTCATTGTAATACGAGAGAAAATATCTCACCTGTCCACGTCATCGCTCTCCAGCTTGCCGCTGTAGATCTTCTTCTGCAGCTTATCATCCAGCAGATTCGTGTGCTCCTTGCCGATGTCCAATGAGTACGCGACAGGTGGCAGGCCCAAAAGGTACGCCACTGCAACAGGACGAGGGGAGGCGGGGGGGGAGGAGGAACTCTATGAGATTTGGTTGGAGGACGAGCGGAAGGGGAGGGGGGAAGATGGCAGGGTCAGGGCTTCAGAGCCGTGGGTGCGTGCAGGGCCGAATGCGGAGGTAGGGAGCAAGGGAACATAGAGGATTTTGTGCTTGGCTGATTGTAAAAGTAAGTGAGAGGGACGCAGCGGGAGGGAGAGGGACTGACGGAGGAAGTGGCCTGCCTCGTGCCGGAGCACTCGGTCCTTGTAGTCCGAGAATGCAGGCGCCATGGCTCCTATGCCGCCCTGGAGAAGCCTGTAACGAGTATGGGAGACGGAGGAGATTGAGAGTTCGTTGGGTTATGGCAATACAGCGTATGCCTCAGTTCACGGCACGTTCCATAGTTGCTTTTATTTTGTTTCTGCATTGATGGGCGCCACGTGGAACATGCCCGCATTTTGTGGTCTCTTCCAGGTGCTCTGCATTGGATTGGTTCATGTTAGTGGGAACGATCTGATACAGCCCACAACATGGTTTGTTTCAGTGCTTGCGTCTAAAAGTGAGTGTGCACAGGGTTGGAGTGCGAAACACTGGGTGTGCTTGAGTGCTTGTGAACGAAAGTGTGTGTGGTGTAGAGGGTAGAGCGTGAGAGAGTAGGGTATACCCTGGGGCAACGCTGCCGACAGCGAGGACGACAATGGAGAGGCCGCCCACGAGATACGGCACAAAGAAACCCCAGTCCTGCGAGGGCAGGTGGAAAGGGGGCGTAGGCAGATGGGTTATTGAGACGCCTCAGACAGACAAGTTCTGAGACCTTTTAGAGCACGACAACGGAGAGGCCGCGCACAAGATACAGCACGAAGAAACCCCAGTCCTGCGAGGGCACAAGGGTGGGGGAAGCGCAGGTGAGCAGAGGGTGCGGGGACAGCAGGTGGGGGGTGGACGGCTGGTGGGGGATGGATGGAAGGTGCAGAGGGAGGCAACAGGAGGAACACAGTACAAACAGTCCGGGGAACACAGGAGGAATGTGCACTGTGCAGGAGTCCAACAGCATAAATTCTCATACCTACTCACCCCTGACAACCCCTGCTCACCCCTGACAGCCAGTGCTCACCCCTGATGGGGACGAACCTGATGGGGACGAACCTGATGGGGACGAACCTGATGGGGACGAACCTGATGGGGACGAGCCTGATTGGGGGCGAACCTGATGGGGGCGAACCTGACGGGGGCGAACCTGATGGGGACGAACCTGATGGGGACGAACCTGATGGGGACGAACCTGATGGGGACGAACCTGATGGGGACGAACCTGATGGGGACGAACCTGATGGGGACGAACCTGATGGGGACGAACCTGATGGGGACGAACCTGATGGGGACGAACCTGATGGGGACGAACCTGATGGGGACGAACCTGATGGGGACGAACCTGATGGGGACGAACCTGATGGGGACGAACCTGATGGGGACGAACCTGATGGGGACGAACCTGACGGGGACGAACCTGACGGGGAAGAGCCTGATGGGGACGAACCTGACGGGGACGAACCTGACGGGGACGAACCTGATGGGGAACCTGATGGGGAACCTGATGGGGAACCTGATGGGGAACCTGAGTTGCTGAAGACGCTAGATGCAAGACACCCTTTTAGACGCAAGACGCTTGGGCGAAAAAGAATTCGGGCAGCCCGTAAAAAAAATTCGCGCGCGCGAAATTGAAATTCGCCATTTCAACGCGAAATTCAATTTCACGCTATTAGAACCTCTTCCCACCCATTTCGACCATATAAGCTCACCCCTGACAGCCAGTGCTCACCCCTGACAGCCACTGCTCACCCCTGACAGCCAGTGCTCACCCCTGACAGCCAGTGCTCACCCCTGGTAGTTGGCTGCCGGCGAGGGCGAGGATGGAGGTGGTGCCGACCACAGTGGCGAGGAAGAGCGCCTGGTTGGTGGGGGGAGGGGAGGGCATGGAGGGATGGCGTTTGGTGGAGGGAAGCGCGAATAGGCGATTGAGAGGAAGGACGTTGGCAAGAGGAGATGGAGGAAGGGGTGGGGGGGTGGGAAGAGGGGATTGAGAAGACGGGGTTACGGGCGGAGGACAGAGGAGAAATGTAGGAGGCGGAGAGTGGGGAGACAGCAAGGGCGATGGTGACGTGGAACTGAGCCTCTGAGTCGACAGAGCGAGGCTGTGTGCTGACGAAGGCGGCGAAGGTAGGAATGAGTCAGGCAATGACGAGCGGAGGAGAAGGGGCAGTGAAAAGATCGAAAACTGGGGAGGAGGGAGTGGAAGAAGAGAGGTGCGCTGCACCACTTTCATCGTTACAAGCAGCAGCACTTACGTCGTTGCGGACAGACGACACGGCGAGCTTCTCCGCGTTCTTGATGCCCACTTGCGTCAGCTCGCGCACGCTCGCCTGCACGCAACAGCAAAAGGAACGGAACCACAGAGTGCACGTCTAATTCAACAGGCGAGCTCGCCCTCTTCTCGGCGTCCTTGATGCCCACTTGAGTCAGCTCGCGCACACTCGCCTGCACGCAAGAGCGGAAGGCATGCACCCACAAATTCCTCATCTCATTCAGCAGGCGGATTCGTCGCCTTTGGCTACCAGAAGGTAAGTCAGTTCAATGCGAGAATTTGCGAGCATTGCATTGCACGTCACGTTTCGTGATTCTCCACTCAATTTCACGTTCAATGCCTTTATTTTTTTCCTGATTTCATTAACCGATAGAGTCAGTCGCTCGCTACCACTCACCGTTCGTCTCGCGACGTTAGGGTAGCTACCCCAGGCCGTGACGGTGCCGGCTTCCTTCAAGCACTCCAGCGCCACCTTCAGCGCCTCTGAGTCCCGCTGTGGGTCCACACGAACCGTGGAGCAGGTTGGAATCAGGGGAAAGGTTAGAATAAATTGGGTAAATGCTTCGTGAGTCGTGGTTCGAGCGTGACATGATGTCGAATGAGAGAAGTTGAGCTGACCGGCTTTTGAAAAGAACCAACCTTGTCCAGTGCTGGCTTCAACGCGATTGGAATCAGTTCGGTCGTCGATGATGCAGCAGAAGCACTTGATGCGGAAGCGACGGACGGCTCGGATGAACTCGAAGCCCTCGTTACACGCACAACCCTGTACGTTACCGTACTGCCTTGACTGCTCGACGGGAAATAAGCCTTTGAAGGAACGGCATTCCAGCAGTTACGTCTCAAACTTTCGCTTAATTTAGACGACGCGGATAGGCCGGCGGTGACAGCCTGCGAGGGCCCCGAGGCAACGAGCGAGGCCATGGCACCAACGATTTCAGGCACGTAACTGGAATTAAAAGACTGCTTTGTTTTGGAAAGCAATGTAGGGGAACGAATTTGGAACCAGATACTTGAAACAGACGCCTGAAATTGTAAGGATGTGTAGGGCCGGCACTGGCAGGCTGGGAAAGCCTGAAATCAAAGCGAAGTTTGATACTAAAAGCGTGAAATTGGAAGCCTGGAACTGGAAGCCTGAAACTGGAAGCCCGAATTCGTAAACCACCAGACTTCTGAATCCGCGGTTCCACTGAACAATTTGCTACCGTACCCCCGAGCGTTCAAGGCCATCAATGCTCCACGACACTCCCCGTGCCTGGTCAGGTTCCGTGAAGGTTGCGTCGGAAGCCCTCGACCGCATATGCCAGATGGCAGCCAACCAACAGTCCAACAAGGCCATGCTTACCTAAAATACAATAACATTTTGATAGCCAGAGAGATAGACTCAGCGGGGATAGCTCAGTTGGGAGAGCGTCAGACTGAAGATCTGAAGGTCGCGCGTTCGATCCACGCTCACCGCACAGGTTTGCCCTCCTTAGGACAGCCCTGTTTTTGGGTTGCGAAGCAACCTATTACAATCTTTATGTTCAATTTTTTTTTTCATCCTCTATACTAAAAAAAAAAAATATGGTGAACGTTACAAAAGATTGCCACTACCGTATGCCATAACAGCTTACCAAGAATGGTACTAAAGTTCTTTCACGTTTTCCAAGTTCTTCGTATGGATGAATAGCTGTTATTGTAAAAATGTGGCAGTTTATTCCATAATGATAATGCATACGTAGAATGATTATGTCATGCATAAATGAGGTTTGAATGGATGCATAACAATGGTTTTATGAGTCAAATGTTTAATGATAATGCATAAATATGATGCATATGCTGATGTAGTATGTGTGGTATATACTTATATATACTATATGTGAATGCTTATATAACATAATGAAAATGCGTGATAGTTAATTGATCCATACACTAGGTGTCAAATGTTGTAGCCTATAGTGAGGTTTGTCTTAGGGGGTACAAAACTTAGGGTTAGCTATTTGTACCCCAACCAACATCAATGCACCATCCATTCTTCATTCTGACATGGTATCAGTTAGGTTAGGATCCTGTGGGATCCCGTTCCTCCGTTCTCCGTTCGAGCCTCCCGAGCCTGATCCTAGCTCTCATTCGTTCCGGTTCCGTTGTTACCGCGCGTAGTGCCGCGCCTAGCGCCACTCCTAGCGTCGCGTCCTGCCCGCCCTTTCCCCCTCGTCGCGTCCCTTTCCCCCCGTCGCGTCGCGCCCTTTCCCCCCAGTCGAGTCGCGCCCTTTTCCCCCCGTCGCGTCGCGCTCTTTCCCCCCGTCGCGTCGCGCCCTTTCCCCCCGTCGCGTCGCGCCCTTTCCCCCCGTCCCGTCGCCCTGCCCCGTCCCGTCGCCCTGCCCCGTCCCGTCGCCCTCCCCCGTCCCGTCGCCCTGCCCCGTCCCGTCGCCCTGCCCCGTCCCGTCGCCCTGCCCCGTCGCGTCGCCCTGCCCCGTCCCGTCGCCCTGCCCCGTCCCGTCGCCCTTCCCCGTCCCGTCGCCCTGCCCCGTCGCGTCGCCCTGCCCCGTCGCGTCGCCCTTCCCCGTCCCGTCGCCTCTGCTCCGTCGCGTCGCCCTGCCCCGTCGCGTCGCCCTGCCCCGTCGCATCGCGCCCGCCCTTTCCCCCGTCCTGTCGACCCTACGCCCTAGCCCGTTCTTCCGCTGCGACTAAGTCCCCCCACCTGAACCCTAATTTGCCTCTTACCTCCTGCTGTTACTCGCCTGCTCGTTCGCGTTCGTTCTCGCTATGGCGACTCCGCGAGTTCTTCGTTTCGACGCTGACGGTAGACCTCTTGACTTTTCCGTCTGGCTTCTTCGCGCTCGCCGTCTGTTAGAGAGTCAAGTCCAGGGGGGCGAGACCCTCTGGTCGCACGCTACTGGTGACCTCCCCGAGCCCCCCGAGCCTGCCGCTTTAGGTCCTGCCCCTGACGATGCTGCTACGGCTCGCTTTGCCCGTCAGCGCGCTGACAGGACGGCTTGGACGTCGCGTGACGCTGCGGCCTGCATCGCACTCAGCAGCCTCCTCCCTGAGTCAGAGGAGGTCCACTTCACTCAGGTTCGCACCGCTGCTGCGTACCTCACTGCGATTAAGGCCCGCTACTCTACTCCCGCTACTGTCTCTCTTGGCCGTCTTTTCCTCCCGTTCCTGTTTCCTGATCTCGCCTCGTTTGAGCGCTCTGCTGACTTGATTGCTCACCTCCGCTCGCTCGACGCTAGTTACCGCGCTGCTTGCACAGAGGCACAGCTTGCACTGCTTCCTCCCCCTATGGCGATTACTATCTATTTCATCGCCACTAGCCTCCCTGACCGCCTTGCCTCCGTTCGCGACGCGCTTCTGCTGAAGCACCCTAGTGAGCTCACCGTCGATGTCCTTGAGTCTGCACTCAAGGACGTCGAGAGCAACCTTCGCTCGGTAGCCGCTGCCTCTGGTGCTGTGCCCCCCCCACTCTTCCACGGGTGCACAGTCCCGCAGTTACCCACCTTTACTGCCTCACTTGCCACTGCCGCTACTGACGCGACTGCAGCTGCTGTTACGACTGCGTCGCGGTCCCGCGGTAGGAGTGGCAAGAAAGGCGGTTCTGGTGGTGGTAGTGGAGGTGGAGGCGGAGGTAGTGGAGGTGGCGTTGCGCCTGGCGGCGGTGGAGGTTCAGGGCCTGGAGAGGCGCCTCGTGCAGTGACTGGTGACTCCACTGCGCCTGCTAGTGGTGGCGACGCCCGAGTTCGTCAGTCGCCTCCTGTACTTCCTGCCCCGGTTGGTGGAGCAGCGGCGTGGTACCAGGCTCAGCGTCAGCAGCAGCTTCTGCAGCACCAGCAGCCCCTCTCCTCCCAGCAGCCTCAGCAGCAGCAGCGGCAGCAGCTGGCTCCAGGGTCGGGGCTGCGTCAGACCCAGCGCGGTGCTGCTTACACTCCCTGCACCTACCAGGTTCTGACAGGCACTCGTCGTGGCCACCCTTGTGGCCGGTTTCACCCCCCTGGTCAGTGCTTTGCTCAGCTCACTGACACGGTTCGTTTGGTCTACGGGGTTGGTGCTCCTGCCCCTGACTGGCTGCCTCTTGTTCAGCGCTACGGCTCCGCTCTGTGGGGCATATCTGCGGAGCAGTTAGTTGATCTGATTGGTACTCCCCATGCTATGTATGCTGTTGTTGACTCTAGTGTTTCTGACTCTGCTTACTCTGGTGTTGTTAGCTTAGGTGCTAGCCTTGCTCAGTTGCCTGTTGCTAGTGTAGGTTCTTGTGTAGACTCTAGTCCAGCGGCTACCTCAGAGGACGGTTCGCTGTCGTTCACGCTGGACTCTGGAGCCTCTCACTGCTTCTTTCGTGACAGCACGACACTTACGCCTCTTCCTGCGCCTGTTTCTGTGGCGCTGGCTGATCCCACTTCGGGACCAGTCACTGCGCGTCACACTACCACCTTGCCGTGTCCGGCTGCTCCTTCTGGGTCTCTCACTGGGTTTCACGTCCCCTCGTTCTCCCGGAACTTGGTGGGCGTGCGACCCCTCGTGAGTCAGCACGTGGGTGTGTGGTTTGAGCCTTCTGGAGAGACTGCGGTGTGTGTTGACGGGGACTCTTACCAGCCCCTCGCCACTTTTGCTGCTGAGCCGGGCTCCGGTCTCTACACTCTTCACACTGGCCCGCGCGCTCAGCAGCGACTGCAGCAGCAGCAGCAGCCGCAGCAGCAGCAGCAGCAGCAGCCGCAGCAGCAGCAGCAGCAGCAGCAGCAGCCGCAGCAGCAGCAGCGGCAGCAGCCGCAGCCGCAGCCACAGCGGCCGCCGTCGCAGCGGCCACTCCTCCCAGTTCCTGTCCCTCCCCCTAGTCTCCTCCCTGCGTCTCACCAGGTGGTTCCGTCCCCTCAGGTTGTCGCGTCCAGTCCAGTCGCTGCGTCTTGCTCCTGTCGGTCGCTTGCCCACCCCACCGTTCTGTGGCACCACCGGATGGGACACCCTTCTCTTCCACGTCTGCGTGCTATGTCTAGTCAGCGTCTGGTCTTAGGTCTCCCGCGTGTCTTGCCGTCGCTGCCGCCGTCTCTTGCACCACCGTGCGGTCCTTGCGTCGAGGGTAGGCTGCGTGCCACCCCTCACTCCTCCTCCCTTCGTCCGGCCACCGAGCCTTTTGAGACGCTGTATTTGGACGTCTGGGGCCCCTCTCCTCGCCCTGGCCCTGAGCGTGAGCGTTTCTTTTTGGTGGTCGTTGACGACTACTCCCGCTACACCACAGTGTTCCCCCTGGCGAGGAAGTCTGAGGTGACTTCTACGCTGATCAGGTGGTTGCTTACCACCCAGGACACTCGTGGTCGTCGTGTCAGCTGTCTCCACTCCGACCGCGGGGGCGAGTTTCGCTCCGGCATTCTCGCTGGATTCTGTCGCGAACAGGGCATTCGTCAGTCCTGGACGCTTCCGGAGTCCCCACAGCAGAATGGGGTTGCTGAGCGTCGCATAGGCCTGGTCATGGAGATTGCCCGCACCTCCTTGACTCACGCCCGTGCCCCCCATTTCCTGTGGCCATACGCAGTCAGGTACGCCGCGCACCAGCTGAACCTCTGGCCACGCGTCTCTCGGCCGGAGGCTTCACCGACCAGTCTTTGGACAGGGTCCCCTGGTGTCGCGTCGAGGTTTCGTGTCTGGGGGTGCTTGGCTCTTGTCCGCGACACCTCCGCGGACAAGCTCTCGCCTCGCGCCGTTCCTTGTGTCTTCCTTGGTTTCCCTGAGGACTCCTCTGACTTCACCTTTTACCACCCTCCCTCTCACCGGTTCTTTGACTCCCGTGACGTCCGTTTCGAGGAGTCCACCCCGTACTACGTCAGGTACCCCAGTCGAGGTCTCCCAGTTCCTCCTCCCCCCCTCTTCCTGACAGCCGCTCCCCCGCCTGCTCCCCCGGTACAGCCTCCCCCCCTGGTCCAGCCCCGTCTGGTGTGTCTCAGGCTAGCCCTCCCCCTTCGGTAGCCCCCCCTGTACAGCCTCCCTCCCCACAGTCTTCCTCACCGCCTCCTGTAGGTGCTCCCTCTCGGGAGGTTGGTCCTACGACTGTCCCTGTACAGGTCTCTGGTTCTGGGGGTGCTGGAGTTGGAGCTGAGCCGCGGGTTGCAGAGGACTCTTCTCCTCCGGGGGCTGGTACTGGTCGTGCGGAGTCTGGGGGTGCTGGTGCTGCGTCTGGGGGTGAGGGTGTTCCTTCGGTTTCTGGAGAGCCTGGGTCTGGAGCTGGTGTTGGTGCTGCCTCTGGGGGTGGTGTGCTTGGTGCTTCGGAGGTCGACTCTGGGGCTGCCGCTGCCCCGGACACTACTCCTTCCCCCCACCCCTACCCGACCAGGTTCCAGGCTCGTGTTCGTCGTGCTCGTGAGGAGC